GTTTGGTCTTAAAAAAAGACTGAGAATCCCCTAGTTACAAGCATTACTGCAAACATGTAGTCTGAGACCTTCTCAGGGAGATTAGAAAATTAGCACATGATTGTATTCTCCTCTTCGGTTACTGTTCCACCCATTGCCCAACACCCCTGGATGTTTTTAGCAATGTGTTTTGCAGGAGTGCCTGCAGCTTAAGTAAGAGCCCCAATGTCTTACAGAGACTGCCCACGTGGACGTGGCTTATTCCCCACTTAATAAAGGGGAACCTGCAAGACCGATGACAGTATTTCGGAAAGTGACTTTGTAGCTTCCAGACAATAAAAAAGTGTGTGTGTAAGCACAAATCTGGACATTGGACAACACCAGGAGCGAGCTGGTATCAGTGACTCGGTCACCCTTGCTCACGTGAGTCTGGCGAGCCTGCCCGGATCGATGGAGTCCCGCAGCAGCAGCAGGGACTGCCAGGTTTCCCTGCAGCTCGCAGGGGAGCACGGGGCGCCCAGCCGCAGCTCACACAGGCGCACCCATGAGCTGAGCAGCAGCACCGAGCACTGAACACAGTCCCGCACCGAGGGGCCCCTTCCCTGCCCGCAGCGCGGCCCGGCAGCCCCGGCCCCGCACCCTCGGGCCAGCCCCGCGCCCCGGCTCCCTCCTCTCCTCCCGTACCCGCCTCAGGGCCTCCTTGGCCCGGGCCAGGTGGCCGCGCAGGGCCTTCCCGCGGAGCTCGTGCAGGCTCTCGAAGTACTCGTCGTCGCAGCAGCGGTCGGCGGCGAAGAGCGCGTCCAGCACCACGCGGGCGCCGCAGAGCTCCAGGGCCCAGCCCAGGTACAGCTCCAGCGCCCGGCACAGCTCCTGCAGCTCGGCCTCGTCCGGAGCGGCGCCGCCGGGGAACAGCACGGCCCAGAGCCCGCCGGAGGCCGCGCCGGGCAGCGCGGGCGGCAGCTCGGGGAAGGCGGGCTCCAGGCGCGGGCACACGGCCGACAGCTGCCGGTGGACGCCGCGCAGGGCCGGCGCCGAGAAGAGCCCGGCCCAGCTCTGCGGGGCCTGCTCCGCCGCCTCCGCCCGCCCGTGGCAGGTCACCGCGAACGCGCCCTCCGCGCCGTTCCACCCCACGAGGAAGCGGAGCCGCGGCGGCGGCTGAGGCTCGGCGAAGGCGGTGTCGCGCACGGCCACCCACCCCTCCAGGCTGTCGGGCTGCGGCTCCATCGCGACGGCGGCGGCAGCGGCCCCGCGGGCCCCGGAGCGAAACAGAAACCGAGCGCCGGGAGGGGCGGGACCCTACGCGTCACCGGCAGCGCCCGCGCCCATTGGCGGGAGCGGCAGGGGGCGGGACCGCGGTGTCGGGGCAGGGGCAGGGGGCGTGGCCGCAACAGAGGCGGGGCCAGGGCGGCCCTCACGGCGGGAGCGGAAAGTAAACAGCGCTATAGTAAAAGAGCGAGAGGGCGGCCCGGCAAAGGCTCTTTGTCCTGGCGTGGGTGGGGTTGGGAGGTGACCCCGAAGATCATGTTCCCACCCCTCTGCCATGGGCACGGACTCCTTCCACTAGGCCAGGTTGCTCAGAGCTTCATCCAGCCCGGCTTTGAGCCCCTGCAGGGATGGGGCATCCACACCTTCCCTGGGCAACCAGGCCAGGGCCTCACTACCCTCACAGTGAAGAATTTCTTCTCAATATGTAACCTAAAACTACTCTCAATTTGAACCCATTCCCCCTTGTCCTGTCAGTATATGCTCTTGCAAATAATCTTGCCGCATCTCCCATGTGTATTTCCTTCAGGTACTGGCAGGCGAAAGCTTTGAGGAATAAGCCGCTGCTCCTGTGAGGAGTGGCGGGTGGGAGCAGGGCATACACAGCCCCGCGTTTGAGCCGCTGCATGAGGGGCAGCTTTCCTCACTGCCATCGTTCCTGTGGCCCTCACAAAATTCCACGCATTGTTGCATTCTACAACAGCAAGCAAACCCCTCACTCCTTCCCCTTGAGCCTGAGCCCTGGGGCTCTGTGCCCACAAACAGCCCAGGGTGCTTGTCCTGACACCCAGCTCAGCCCCAAGGTCACCATGATCTGTATAAATGCCACCCAAATGCTGCGTCACGGGCACCGAGGGAGCAAAGAGCAGCGGGGTGATGGAACAAGAACAATGTCACTGCTCTTATTCAGGCCTGTGTCCAAGGCAGAATGTAATTCACTATCCACCAAATGTTATATTCCAGTCTTTGGAAGCGAAGTACTGCTAATTTTTTGAGAAATTAAGGCATATAAGATAGCGTAGCTTAACACAAAGCAAAAGTAAGCTCTCAGTTGAAAAATTAATCAAATCTGTCAGACAGCATAAATGTTAACATTTCAGCAAGGGCTGCGTCACTTCTGTGAAAACACTTCTGCTCTAATCTCACAGATGATAGAAGCACTGTTAGCAGTAATGAGATCGTGCCTACATGGGCAATTAACTTGTGATTCCTCACCAAACAGCAAACAATTGCACTGCTAGAAAAGTGAGGAAATGACACCAAGATAATTGGAAAAGGAGGAAAAAGCAGAGCTGTGTCAAGATCTAATAGACATTGTCCCTTGTGGCGTCCTCTGAGCTCAAGCCATATATAATTCAGCATTCTCAAACGTGCTTAAAAATCTCCTGCCAGCAGGGCTGGCTTGGTAGCACATTCACAAGCAGCAGCCTGTGTGTGCTGGGCAGCTGTGGGTTTGAGGAGATTCACAAAGCTCCAGTGCTACAGCAGCCACAATAATCAGTGGTAATACACAGCCTGTTATTTATCAGGTGGACCCCTCCTGAGCACAGACTGCAGGGATATGTTCCTGTGAAAACCTCCCTAGTGGGGCCATTGCTCACTTTCTTCACCATAATTAGCTTTCCAGAGGTCTGGCATACACACACAGGGTGTATAGATATGTATAATAAGCATAACTAATGGTATGATTTTTTTTTTCTAAACTCTAAAATTTCTTTCTAATATATGATCATGATTCCAACTCAGCCCTGTAGAAAAGCTCCTGCTAATTTGAGAGGACTCTACCAGTAAGTGTTTGCAAAGAACAGAACAGGCACTTCCATTAAGTTGTGCAACTCTGTAAACACATGTCCAGCCATGTGAGTTGTTTGCACGTTTTGTGTATCCCACACAGGACACTCTGCCTAACACCCCAGCCTTGGAAATCACACCCAGAGGCAATGAATGCACTCTGCAGTGTTCATTAATCCCACCTCCAAGAGTGAGAGGGTACTCTGCCTTTAGTGAGGGCTCTCTGTAGCTGCTCTCAGTACTTCAGAGCCTGTTCTCAGTGTGTGACATTCATCCTGGTGACACTCAAGCAGCTCACTGCTGAAGGACAGCCAGGGCACATCTATATTTGTGCCATTGCTCATTGCTGGCATGCCCCTATCTGAGCAAAGAGGCAGGGTAAGGTTTCTGCAATAAGTCTCCCAGCTGCAGTTACAGGAAAGTGGCAAGGAGTTGCTTTCGTGTGAATTAATTTTTACTAGGGGGAATAGAAGTTAACTTTGATGCCATCTGAGCTATCAGAAGAATTTATGACGTCTTAAGATAGAAGGCAAGTTTTTAGGTAGTAACATTCTTTGTTATGTATTTATGATAACTGGTGGTCACAGATCTAAACGTGCTTCATGTAATTTTATCTGTGCCTGCAAAGCAAGCAAACACTGAGCAATCATCTGAAAATCTTATTTAGGCAGCAGGATTGCAGACAAGCTTAATTATGCTAATTTTAATTTATTTCATTTCATTTTGGTAGGAAAAATAAATGTTAATTCACTGTTCTAATTAGTAGTAGCTTATAAAGCAAGCCTTATTGTTTTAATTATGGGGAAAAAAGTCTTTGCAGGAGCCAGACAACATTTTCTGGTATGTGTTAAGACCTTTTCTCTGTTTAAAATGTTAGAATTTGCATGATTTATTTTATTGCCTTCAGCATAAATAGTATTTCTGCCTAACTTTTTGTCCATAGTAGGATATTGCTAACTGTAGAATCCACACCCATGTCTGCAGTGCCAGAAGACAAGCTATGAACTTCTGTGTGGGTTTTCTTACAGATTTGTAGGGCTGCACTCAGCAGGGATATAAAACCAGAGAGTGCAAAATGTCTCAATATTTTTCACTGGTTTGGGAAGTTGCTTTCTACAAATTGTGTTGACTCTGTTAGCTAAGCATTTCTCAGGAAAATTAGTAAAATGTTGATGAAATAAATTTGAGGTAATAGCAACTACTCAAAACTAAAAAGACCATAAATAGTAGTTTGAAAGCAGACTTATGTGAAAGCTTATGCAGAAGCTCTGATAGCACTGATGTCTGACTGATCTTTTGGCTTTTTTCTTCTGTGAGAAAGTGATTTTAAAGCTTTCATATCCTTCACTTACCTAGGACTAGATGTAACTACAGATTAAGTGATATTCAGCTGAAATCTTTCCATGAAGTCTTTTGCTTGTGGTATTAAACTGCTGAGTAGTTTTGTAGCTATGATTCCATTCATGTTGGTGAGCACTGAAGGGCTGTGGGGACGTTTCAGCTCAGAGAGAGCTCTGACTCTGTACTGGCATTATCTCACTGCTGTTAATGCAGGCTGATTGGAAAGAGTGCGCTTGGGAATCAGCATTAAAATTGCCTTTGCACTTTTAATGTTATCCCACATGCATCTGCTTTATCATACAGCTTTGCATGTCACCTGCACATGCTATTTTCACACCTCCCTCCTTGCACAGAGCACACAAAATGTGCAAGGTTTGGGTCAGAGCAGGCATCTCTGTCCATAGGTCAATGGCCTGCCTTGCTCCCTAGTCACTGGATGCTTTTTATGTTAAAATGTATATTTTCCACAGCACATGAGAAGCCCCAAAGGGCAGTATGTTTTCTCTGTGATATTTTTTAGAAAGGACCCAAGATCTCAACTCAAGTTTCAGTATTAAGAATGGCAACTTGAAAAATACAGAACAGGACTTTCCAGGGCATTTACTAGTGTGTTCTGTGGCATCAGTGGTCACAACAGAGGACATTCTACATTATGCCTGACTGACAGTTCAAAAAACATGCTTGACAGCAGCTGAAGAGTGAGCAGGCTTCAAACCAGGCCATTTCCAATTGCACAGAGCAGCACGAACTGTGCCTGAAGCACAGTCACAGTGTTTATCTGAGGACAGGACTGCTCTACAGTTGGAAATCAGGCATCAGGGTCACAGATGAGGTACTCAGAAAAGTGGATGCACACCAGAGACAGCTCTCTGCTGTGCTTTGCACTGAGGTGAGAAGAAAACAAGCTTCCTGTGGCGTTCCTTCAGCAGCTTCACTTAGGGAGTGAAGCTACTGACTTTGGTCTTTCCCATGCCTACCTCCAGGACTGAGCAGTCCTCAGACAAATCTATTCTATCCATATACTTTTAAGCAAGAATAGCTACATACTTAGATATCAGGACTGAGATTAAGATCTTTCTTATCTTTTACAAGCTTGAGTCTCATCATCTCAAAAGCCTCCCTGAGGATACCAATGTCATCCAGATCTGGCAGCACGAGAGACTATGGGACTAGCGGCCAACGACATCACTCAGCTTCCCCACCAGCCCCAGACCCCAGTGACACTGAGACTGAAGGTCTGATCTTCTATCACATGGATCTTTATGGATCAAAGGAGAGGTTTGATATCTTTCCTGAAGAGCCCTCTGGTCGAGGAGACAGATCTCTGGGGGATACGAGAAGGGAATCTGCACCGAGTAGTGAAAAAGTTCAGCGCCCACAAGAAGTTGGCTATGACTTGGAAAAGGAGGTTGCAGAGTTGGCTAAGATGTATGGACTTGATGAGGATAGAGAAAAAGAGCTTGAGCTTCTTGGAGGACGTCTGGAGAAGGTGGAGAGCAGATGGCCACCAGCTCGCACAGAAAAAGCAGGATTACAAGGTTCCTTATATAACAGATCAAAAAGCAGCTCTTCAGTGAAAGATCCAAGCCAAAGCACAAAGCAGCAAGGACTTCCTGATGAGGCTTCTCAAGGTGAAAATCAGAGCAAAGCCAGAGCAGACGATGAGGCTGAGAGCAGCACATGGTCCAGAGGGGGACTTAGCAGTGGTGGCATGTCAGATGAGTGGAACAGTCAGGCTGTCAGTGAGGAGGAGGTAGAGGAGGAGGAGGAAGAGGAGGAAGCAGCAGATGTTTTTTGTTCCACCTGCAAGATACCAATCCGAGCTTTTGACAAACTATTTGGTGAACACAAGGATCATGAGGTTGCTCAGCTCCCCAGTGCTGTGGAAAGTGAAAAGGTGAGAGTAACACAGGTGTACTGTGGTGCCTCTAAAACAGTCTTCAGACATTGTAAGAATCACACAGGGTGTTTTGTAGGAGGAGATCCATAAAAACATGTGCAAGTTGGAAGAACAGATTGCTCAGATGGAAAATGTTGCCAGCCATTTGGAGGAAATCTTCATCACTGTAGAGGTAAGGCATTTTCTCTTGGGCTAACTTTATGGTAGTGGGGTTAAACAGTTTTGACAGTCATACTGACATTCATAGTATTCAGTTGTTAATGAGGTACTTACAGTAACAGAGCACAGAGTTATCTTGGGGTCTGTCTAGACTGAAGTACTCAGGAAAACTCATCCTAAAGATTTTTTAAAGTGGGCTAGTAAAACCGCATTTATAATTTGCACAGAGGTTTGCATTCAGAAATAAAGTGACCCCCACTCAGGTCATCTTAGCTTTAAATGGCCAAAGAGCTTTGATCTAACTAGTCCATCCAGAGTGCAGCCCTTGTGTTCCCTCAGCTTCATTCACAGATGTGTCAGATCCAGGCAAATCCTTGGACCAGCTGCTTCAAGCTGATGACTTCAAGAGTTGTGCTCCCACTCTGCTGCTGTCACTTGGCCCCAGGGGAAGGAGGTCAGCTGGCAGCAAGTTCAAACTGAAGCAATAACTCAGAGCACTGCAGGCTTTTCTCTGCTGCATGTGGCACAGGAGGACATCAGTGCCTGAACAGTGAGCAGCTGCTGGGACTGCTTCTTGCCTTGCCTGCTCCTTAAATTTCCCTTCCTTATGCTTTCTCCAGCTGTGAGTGAGGATACCAGCATTAGCTACCCAGCTGTCTCAGCACAAATCCATGGATCCCACTGAGTTGCCATGGTTTCTCTCGTGGAAGGATGTGCTTCACTGTGTTGGTGGAAATGCTTCTGAGATTATGCCTAGGATATATCCTAGTTGTGCTCCCTGGGTTTAGGGGAGCATCATTGTTCCTGCTGTAATTTCTGTTGCTCTTATGTCCGGAAGAAAATCCAACACTTTTGTGCTTTAGTGGGGGGTGAATGATCAGAGTAAACCCCTAAAAATGCACATAAGTCAAATTACAGCTTCTGTGTAGTGGTACTGTGTCCTAGTTTTGTGAATTAAATCATGACATATTGCCTCTATGGTAAGGAGAAATTTAGGCAGACCAGAGTAATATTTTCCTCTGCGTGACCTGTGGATCAGGCTTATGCCAAGGTGCAAACCCTCAAATATCTTGCAGGAAAATTTTGGGAGGCAGGAGCAGAACTTTGAGGTGCATTACAATGATGCAGTGCAAGTGCTTGCTCAGAAGTATGAGGAGCAGCTGGAAGCACTGGGAGAAGAGAAGAGGCAGAAGCTGGAAGCTCTGTATGAGCAGCTGGTCAGCTGTGGGAAACATCTTGACACCTGCAAGGAGCTGACAGATGAAACCCAAGAGCTTTTCCTGGAAAATGACAAAGTTGAATTTATGAAGGTAAAGAGTTTTAACTGTTGAAGTGCTTTTTGCTGCTTGCAAGTAGTCTTTGTCTGAGAATCCCAAGCAGCCTTAGTGCTAAGGAGAATTTGGGATGCTCAGTCCATGGTGCTGTCACTGCTCCTCATGCTTGGCATGGTGGCATTGACTTAGTAGGGCAACACAATAGGGGCAAAATGCAGAAGCAGAAGTTTGTAATTTGGATGCTCATTCATTTGTGAGTCACACTGGGGTTCAGAGAGAAGATATCTTGCTGAAATGCTTATCTGGGGAAACTCTGGAAGCACTTAGTGTTCCTTGCCTTGTGCAGGCTCAGCTCTCTTGCTCTATTCTGGGCTCACAGCAGGCAGGCTGATGTAATCACTTAGGAAGATGTTTCCTTTTCTTGCTCATTTTGAAATATGTCAAAAGCTCCCGCAAAGTGATGGATAAAATCCCACTCTTGAGGTGGTGTCAAGAAGATATTTTCCTTTGGCAGGTAGAAAAATAATTGGAGAAAAAAATCAGAATTTTCACTGATGATGTGATTGCTCTCACCTGAGTTGTCCTGTGACTAAGGTGGGTGGGAGCATTTCTGTAGCACAGAGACAGTACAGTAACAGTGACAGTAACAGTGACAGTAACTTCTGAACTGGACAACAAACCAATCTCATAACACCAGTGTACTTCTGTAGGTCAGTTTGCTATGACTCCAGCCTGCTGAGTTCTTCTCATGAGCTGACTTTTCCCATTCCTCTGCATCTCTGGAATAAACTTATTTTCTCCTTACCTTTTAAACAGTTTACATAGACCCTGAGAACTATTATTTATCAAAAAGTGAATGTTGGTCTTGAGCTCTCAGAGGCTTAGGTTTTCTCCTGTACATCTGTCTTCCAGTTACATGCACTGCTCAGACTCCCTCCCGCACAGATCATTTATTTCATGAGTTCCTTTGCCCAGCTGATTTTGGTTTTTGTTTGTGAGGGATCTGTTGGCACTTTGGACAACCAAGGGCGTAATTGGTCTAAAGTTCTCAATGGGCAGACACTGATGACTACCTGATATTGCTCATTATCTTTCTGTAAATTCAGCCAAGATCTGTCCATTTCAGTAGAAAGGGCTGGCTTTGTTCTCAGAGTTGGGTGAGAGCCAATTATTTCACTCCAAGTATTGCATTTGGGGCAATTTGTGTAAGCCAGGTCAACAGCATGAAGTAGTCTGACTCTGGACTTTCCTACCTCTAACACTGTGTCCTTTTTTTCCAACAGGCAGCAGTAACCATGGTTGACAGGTAGTATCACAGTCTGGGATTTTGTGTCACATTTCTTCCTGCTAATTGGATGGGTTATTGGAGATGCTTGCATGTTCTGGACTTTGTTCAGGCACACAAATGTTGTCTAAGCCACTAGAGCTATTGAAATATTTAGTATTTTTGTTTTAAAGTGCATCAGAAAAAGTTGCTCTAAGAAATTTAACACTCAAAACTTGTTTGGCTCCAATTTCAAGAAATCCGAAAGGAGAGTTAGAGCCTGAATAAATCAGTGTTTTCAGCTTAGTCATAAGGAAGTAATTTCACTGAGAAACAGGATTGCTAAAGCTCTTGAAATAACCACTCTGGATCCAAATGAGACTAAAATTGAGCTCCCTAAATATACTGTGATGGGCTTATTTATGCATTAATATAGTGAGGTAGAAAATCAAGCTGTGGGAGCTCAGAACAGATACAGAAAAATATTGGAGCAATTGGAAGAAGTCTTAGGGCACACTAAATCATAGGCAAAAACCACCCTATTAATTGACTGTTATTGTTCATGAAAGCACAGAGAAAAGATACCCCTTTCTTTCAAATTTACAACACCTAGAGCCACGAGGTCATGAATTAATAATAGTGTGAATTCAAAATAATGGAAGTTATGGAGCTAATAGAGTGCTTCCCTAGGGAGGTGCTGGGCACACCCCACTCCCCAGCTCTCTGCAGGAGCAGGGCACGCCAGGGTGGCCCCCAGCCCCAGCAGCAGCAGCCAGCTCTCTTTGCCATCTTGGGGCACTGATGGCCACGCATCTCCAAGCTGTAGGCAGAGGAGGCTGAGCTCGTACAGCTGTGAAAATGGTGTTTTAAGGAAATAGATGTAATTTGGAGTCTGCTATTCTCTTAGAAATAGGCATGATAGACTTATACCTCCAATAGTATGGTACTTCCAATGAGACAATATTTTTTCCCCCTACAATTACAGGCTGGAAGAATTCTTAAAGCAAGAAGTGAATTTAGAGCTTTCAACACTGCCAGACTTTGAAGAGCGGACCATAGATGTCTCTGAAGTTGAACAACTAATGAACTCCATTAATGCTATTCCAGGTACTATTCCTAACTGGTCATTATTTCACACCTATTTACATTTAAGAAAGGATATGTATTAAACATTACTTCTTTTAAAGGAGATCTGCAAAGGCAGAATTAACTTGTCCCTAGTTTTCCTTCTAGGTTTTTGTTTGTTTTTTTTTTTTTTTTTTTTAATTTGCTTATATATACAGGGACACTGGAAGATATTTTTGGATTTTTTTTTCCATTTGTTTTCAATATAAACTTACCAGAATTACTGCTAAATTGGGACTTCCTTGCTTTTGCTGGATGATTTCCTAGAAGACTCATGAAGATTACCCCCTTGTGTTGAGGGGTCAGGCATGCTTAGTCAGTGATAACTTCTCTTACCTTGTAGTTGCTTGAACAAAATAGAGAGGAACTCCAGACTACTTTAAATAACTTACCCAGCTTCTCTTGATAAACAGATTTCAGTGACTTATTCCTCTGCTATTTAGCAAGCATTTTCCCCCCATAATCCACAAGAGACAGTGCAGCATAAACAAATTTTGAATAACTAAAAAAATACCTAAAATTTTAAATATTTTCTGGTGTATCACAAATGGTCAGAAAGAACATTATTTTTTTTTACACCCAATACTGTGTTTTCTTAACATAAAACAGCATTTGGTGCTTGTTTGGCTGTGCTGATGCCCCCTGTTGCACAGCTTTTCCCTGATCCCTGGGTGGCTGGCAGCAGTGCTGGCATGGCAGATGTTGGGCTCACTGGAGCAACCCTCAGAGGAAGAATAGGCTGAGGTTTATTTATTTCATTGGTTTGACTTTGTTTTGAAGCAAGGCTAGTTCTCACACATCAGTGACCTGATTACTATCTGCAGTTGCAGACTCAGCTCCTGACTTTTCTCCATGTGGGAGGAATGGAGGAACGTGACCCTATTCAGTGCCAAGGCTTTGTGCAAACACCTTTGTGAGAGGAGAGGTACAACAAACCATGATTATACATTCAAAAACTGACCTGTTTTTTCCTCTGCAGCTCCTTGTGCCCCTGTGATCAATCCCCAGGCTCCCAATGCAGCAACTGGCACTTCACTGAGGGTTTGCTGGGGCCTCTTCTCAGATGACACTGTGGAGTGCTACCAGTTGTGCTACCAACCCGTGAGCAATGAGAGGCACAGGGATGGGCAAGCAGGTAAGGAGGCTGGGGCCCAAGGGACACCTCAGCCCTCCACTGGCAAACCCAAGGGACACCTCAGCCCTCCACTGGCAGAACCAGCCGATGCCAAAGTGCCTCTGCATGCCTCGTGCACTGTCTGCCACCAAAACTGTCATATCTGCCACCACCATCTGCTTTGTCCCTCTTCCCCTGCCAGGTCTGCCATGCTGCCAGCTGCAGCAGGGCCCATCACAGAGGCAAAGACAGGATGTGGCAGCAGCAGGGACAGCAGGAACGAGAAGGGGACAGTGGATGGAGTCACGAGGATTTCTGGAGGGTGGGCACTGTGTTAGAACATGTGCTGCATCATGTATTTTTAAATCACAGTATTTTTAAAGAGCAAATCATCACATCATCAGCACTCCGACTGAAACCCCCAGATGATTTTACAGCTTATCTTAGTGCTAATAGTAGTCTGTAACTCCCTAAGATGCACAGGCACACAAAAAACCACAGAACCAAAATGTCTCAGCCTTGTGACAAAACTGCCTTTGCTAATACTGTTCTTGCAGTACCTTCAAAAGTAGAAGCCAGTAGAGTGCCAGTGGCCAGTTCAGAAAGAAAAGCAGAAACTATTGGAATTTTATAGGATGAAGAATGAGAAATGAGCAGTAAAATAGCTTCAGCTCTTGTCCCATCTGATTTCTGCAGCTTTAGAGGAAGGCACTGTGAAACTGCCTGAGAGCTGATCAAAGGGTGTGGAGCACAAGGAGCTCTCCTGAACTCAGCATCCAAAACAATGCACCCCAACTCCACTGTGTGATGCAGCTTTGGGGAAGAGTGGGCAAGTGTGTAAAGGCACTGGAAATGCTTTGTTTTTGTCATTTCAGAGCATACACTAAAAGTGAAGGAAACATACTGCACCATTACTGATCTGTTGCCAAATACACAGTATGAATTTTGGGTCAGTGCTTTAAATGCCTCTGGAATCAGTCCACCAAGTGAAAGAGCAGTTTATGTAACAGGTAAAAATATTTTGTTCATACAACTTTGTAACTTTCATAGTGAAATTCAAAATAATCTCTGAATTTTATGCAAGTAATGCTTTCTGGGAACTTTCTTCTGATGTAAGCCTACTGACTGCATGGGAATTCCCCACTTTTATTTAGAGAGCCTCTCATGCCAACTATCCCTGTTTTAGAGTGGCAGAAACAGAAGCAGAGAGACAAAATAACTTATTTAAATGCAAGCATGTAGACCAGCTGTGAATAAGGTTCAAATTTCCTGGTTCTGCCAGATGAATCCCAGCTCTCCTTTCATTGGCCTATAGGTATTTTGTGGATTCACCTGTTATGCTGCTCTTTTTAACTGCAGTTCAGTCAAGGACATTGTGTGAAATCCCAACATCAGATTGAGCAAGTCAGTGTGAGACCTTCAAGTGCTCGTTCCAGATGTCTTTGACATCTCAGAGCACAGAAGAGATACACTTTTATGACAAAGATAAAACTAATCAACAGTTGTGTAATCAGTCTTTATGCTACTTCTCTTTTTAATTCTCTTGGGACCTTTATAGTCTAAATGAAGTCTTTAAATAGTACTGTTAATCACTCTACCTGCTGTTTGTTGTCCATTGGGGAAGCAAGTTTCTTTACCTACCCAGTATTAGTTAACAACATATTTCTATTTGTTTGTCTTCAAAGCATGTGGTTTGCAAACATCTTCAAGCAACAGCTCAGAATTGTTCTTTTTTCTACTTTTTAGCTCCTTCACCACCTATCATAAAGAATAAAAAGATCCAAAGCTGTGAAAATGCAGCACTGGTGTGCTGGGAATCCAGAGACATTAACCCTGTTGATTCCTACACAGTTGAATTGTCCAAGCTGACAGATGAAGAAAATGATGATATTATTACTGAGTGAGTTACTCTTCTATTGAGCTCATGGCCTGTAGAGATGAAATAATTTCAATTCTGTGGCATCAGATAGGACTAAGAAAAGACCCATGACCTTCTGGTGAACTTACATTTACAAACAATTCTCTAAGTAAAACTAGTTGTGATATGCCAATCAGAAATTACTATATGAGAATTATGGGTATGGGAAAAGGGCAGAAGCAGATGTAAAAAGCTGCAGACTGTGACAGACTGTGTCTTGCCCTCCTACAGACAATTGTACAAGATAAAATGTTGTTGACTGGTTACAAGACATGTTGAAGTGTAATGTCTTCCTTGTTGCTCAGAAAAATAATTTCAATTTTTTTCTACCTTTGTTTTCTACCCTGTCATTTTCCATGGATTTGTTTTCTGCAGATCTATTGTTGGGATCCCTAACTGTGAAGTCCTAATTCACCTCCAGCCAACACAAAAGTATTACATCTGTGTCAGAGCCCAAAACCTGGGTGGCTCCAGTGAAAGAAGTGAACCAGTCCTGATACACACCACAGGTACTGTACAGCTTGGAACAACTCCAGCAGCTTATTGGAGCATCTATTGTCTAAACAGAAAGATTCCTGCTGGTTTCAATGGCCTCTGGACCAGGTCCTAATTTCTCACATCTAATTACACACCTGGTAACATTTTAGGAATGAAAAAAGCAACATCTTGTAACAATAAGTGCATTGCTTTAGCTCTGTAATTTATGTTATTGCTGTCTGCTGCATTTGGTACTTGAAAGTTACTAATTTCTGCACATTTTAAAAGACAGTGTCAGCTCAAGACCCACATATTGCCAGCCTGCAAACTACTGACACACTAAAAACACTTTCCTACAGTGAGGAAAGCTGTAGTGTGGTTTTACTTCAGAGATTACCATGTAATGCAGCTGCTGCTGAAAATCATGGCTGAGGCAGCACTGTCTAGAGCCATTTAGCAGACATCAGTGCTCACCTTCATCACTGCTCATCTCAAATCTCCCATCCCACTCACACCTTACCTGTTGTGTCTCTTCTGCCCTTACCTTTGGTGAGACATTTGAAAATTGTATTTGTTCAGCAAGATGACCACACAAAGTTATGTTTTAGTAAAAAACCTGTCTGCCACACAGCAGTGACACCACAGAAAAGAAATGCTCATCCTGAAATCCCTGGAGAGGAAAACTGTCATTGTGTTACCATCGTTTGTGTGTATTCCAAGTGCTTAAATCAAACTCAATATTTGAAATTGCCCATTCTGTTTGCACAGCATGTGTTTGTTTTCAGCAGCACATGCCTGTAATTGCCCTGTCATTGTTTGTATTGTATTTGCAATGAAGTAACTTGCAGTTTGATTACAATGATTTCATTTGGGATTACCATGGGGAGATTAATCTTCTCGGAGTCTACATTATGCAAACAGCTGATGCAAATTGATCTGTTGGCTGCAAGAATCCACCTCCAACACTGTGAATGGCCTTTGATCCTTTCTGGGGTGGGTAAACAAGCACCAGCTATAAACAGCAGCTGTGCCAATGGTGGCTGCTCCTCAGGCCCCAGTGTGTCAGAGCTGCTCTGTGAAGTCTCTGCAGGAAGAAAGGCAGAAGCACTTTTATCCTGGGCTGGACTTACCTCTCTGAGGGCTGGTCTGCCAAGGGAGTACTGAAGCATGAGGGATCTTTTCTCTTCAAACTGCCCAGCATTTTGGGGGATGAGTGAGGCCATGGAGAGTCCTTTACACCCCCTTTCTCTTTTCAGTGATTAAAAACAGATTACTTGAAACCAGTAGATTGCAAGGAGAACTCATCTCCGAATAGCTGCTTCCTAATGCCTGCAGCTTTGAGCCCTGGTAGGGTCCAAAACCAGGCTAAGTCCCTTGCTTTTCACCAGGCTGAAACTAAACAGTCTTAAGCTGTAAAACAAATATTTATTAGAAAAATTTTAAAATATGATCTTGTCCTCTCAATGCCAGCCACAGATTCTTTATAGAGCATTGGTGAATCTTTTTGTGTATCCAAATAACATTTCATCACACCCTTGCTGCAATTCTAATGTTATAAGGAGAATACTGGAGTTATCCTTAGGCATTTTCTCTTGCAGGCACCTGCTTCTATCTTAATGAGGACACAGCCCATCCTTTACTGGCAATTCTAGATGATGGATTTACCATTTCATGTGATGAACTGGAAAACCCAGAGTGTGATCTGCCTGTCTATGATAACAGCTTTACAAGGTATACAGGGGCATTTCAGTTCCTTTGGTTCTTTTAACAGATGCCAGGAAATGTCTAATGGGGCTTTCAGCAGCTCTGATTAATTTTTTGAGTTGAAATCTCTCTCTCCAGCTGCTCTTTGGAACTTGTAAATTAATGCAAGTTCTTATATAGGATTACAGATGCAGCAGCCACAATTATGTACAAGCCTACTTATGTCTGGCACACTGAACTAAATTTGAACAGGTATTTAGGTGCCACAACAAATGCTAAGGAAAGGAGAGGGATCTGAAAACTTACCTCTTGCTGAAAGATATAACTGATATTATTTGGACCAACAGGTATTACTTTTAAAAAGATTATGCCCTTTGCCATTGAAGAGAGAGACTAAGCTTGCCAAAATGCATTTTCCAGTCAAAACCACAGAAACACCACATAACTAGGACAGGCATTGCAGGATAATACAAGTCTACAATTTATTCCCTCCATGGAAATGCTACTAGAGGGCTTGGTAGAAAAGAGTTGGGAGACTGGTGATCCTTTTCATTAAAGCCATTATAGTAATCTTAAATGGGATTTCATCCTACTTCCATGGGATGCTTTGATGTTTCACATCCACAGCCAGAGCTGGCACTCATCTCATTCAAAGGCTGAGGTTTTGGTACCACTATGAACTTTCACAAATCTCCTTCAAACCAAGATACTGAAAAAGGAAAAATAAAGGAAAAAAAAAAAAAAACAAAAAAGAAAGAAAAAAGGGGGAAAAGAAGAAGAAGAAAAAAAAGCTCCCAAGGAAGTTACATGGCAAACTCTTCTTTCTGAAGTTTGTGTGGTCTCCTAAGTTTGGGTAGCTGATGTATTTCCTAAGTAGTTCCTCAGTGCAGCTCAGGTTTGCCTTGGTGGCTTTGCAGCTCTCATTACTATGGTTTTGTTCACAGCTGTTTACCCATTATTTTGCATCATTCCTTTTCCTTCTCAGGCTGTAGCAACACAGCCTCCAAATTATGAGTGCAGCTCTCTCTCAGCATTGCCTAGAAGACCTCAGTGTCTGCCAGCAACATCCTTTTCCTTTGTAACTTATAACTTTACACACTACTAAAGAAACATAAAAGTTGTGTGTGTTTGAAACCTGCCGTCCCCCTTGACAATGACAGCTAATACACCATGTACTTTTCCTAAGAAAAAGCTGAGATGGAAGCTTACAGGACTCATGCTGCTCTCCTAAGAGTGTTTCAGAAGCATTTGGAGTGGGTTATTTTGCCCAATTTTCTTGCTTTAGAACCTGTGTTTTTGCAGACTTGCATCTTCAAAGCACCCAGTTCCTTTGATTTCAAGACTGTGCCAGTAAATCAAGCAGAAGGGTCTCTCTGTAGTACATTATCTTTGTCTCTACTACACAACTTTCAAGAGGTATTTTCTGCATGGTTCCAATCATACATTTCATGGCTCAGGTACCCAGCATATTACAAGTTCTCCTACTGTGTTCAATTCTTCCTAATCTCTCCAAACCCAGAGGGAAGCAGTGTAGACAGGTTCCCTCCTCCACAGCTGCCCCAGGAACTTCATGCTGTTACAGTGCTCAGTTCCAGTGGTGAGTGATGTTCAAAACCCTGAGCTGTTGGAAAAGAAAATGCAAAATCTGTACTTTTTTCCTCTGCTATGCAGGAGTTCACTAGAGCACTCTCTTTTCTAACAAGCATCAACTTTCCCAGAAAACCCAGGCACTATGGGATGCTGTTCTCCATCTTCCTGGAAGTGCCTAAGGCACTCATTTCTACAAAGCTACCCACAAGTAAAAACAGGGCAGGTGTCACAAAGAAACCTGCAGGCTGGGTGTCCACTCCTCAACAAGGGGATTCCACTGGAATCAAAAATCCAAACTACACTAAGGTGACAGCAGAAGTGGCTTTTGTTTATTGCTATGTAATGTCCAGGCATATCCATACCTGAACATATCCAAACACTGTAAAGAGAATTATAGAGGCCCTGCCAAAACACCTATTCCTGTCTGTCTCCCACAGATGCATTGCAATCCTGGGCAGTCTGATCCCATTTCCAGGAAGACATTACTGGGAGGTGGAAGTTGAGGAAGATACAGAGTACAGAGTTGGTGTGGCTTTTGAGAACACTCCAAGACATGGTCACCTGGGGGCAAACAACTCGTCCTGGTGCATGAGGCACATCATCACACCCTCCAGGTAAGGGTCAAGTCAGGAGGCTGCAGGTCTCCAACAGGAACAACTCTCACACCTGCAGGCAGGGCAGCAGGGACACCAGAGATTTTCTATCAGCTCAGACCAGGCACTGGGGCCTCTGACATCCCACTGCTGTCCCTGTAAACTGGTGTTGGAACGATACTGCTTAAGCAAATCCTCCTGCTTTATTCAGGGTGTTTCAGAAGCATTTGGCATGGGTTATTTTGCCCAACTTCCTTGCTTCAGAACTTGTGTTTTGGCAGATTTGCATCTTCAAAGCACCCATTTCCATTGACTCTGAGAGGGTGCTAGTGAATCAAGATGAAGGGTCTCTCTGTGATACATTGTCTCATTGCAATGAGACGTTGTCACATTGAAACAAATTGCAGGAACAAATCTGAATAAAATCAGAGTCGCAGAATTTAGCTGTAAACATTACCAGAACCTCAGTGAGAAGACAGTAACAATCTATGTAATCCAGAAACTACATATCTAGCTAAACCAAACTGGTTTTGATCTCTGTCCTACCTATGGCAGTATGTCACACCTGCCTGCAGAAATGCCAGCTCCCTCCTGCCTCAACTGCACTGCTGGCTCTCCCCTGGACATGGTACATCAACACCACTGCCTTTGACTCTCATGTGCAACCTGGGCACCTGTGTGCATAAAGTGCTTCCCTTTGAGAGCAGCCAGGGTGCCTTCAGCTCTTTTGTTTTTCTCGCCTGCAGGCACAAGTATGAATTCCTGCACAGTGGGATGACACCTGACATCAGAATTACTGTTCCCCCCAGAAGGATTGGCATCCTGCTGGACTATGAGAACTGCAGACTGTCATTTTTCAATGCAGATATTGCCCAGCACCTTCACACGTTCAACTCACACTTCCAGCATTATGTCCACCCCTGCTTTGCACTGGAAACACCTGGTATCTTAAGGATACACACTGGAATTACAACACCCCCATGGACTGCCCTGCCATAACCTGTGTTCTGCAGCTGCCACACCCCTGTGTAACCTGCCCTGAGCAATGCCCTCTTTCAGCATTAACTGCACCATCACACTCCCTATGAACCAGCAGTTTCCCCCTAGTAAGAGCAAAGCAACCCTGACCCAAACCAGCTGCCAAGCCTGGCAGCTTGGAATTTACATCCTCTTGGGAAGGATCTTAGCAAAAAGCCACTGTGGTCACAAGAGCCATCAGCATCTCAGAATTCTCACTAGAAACGGACACCTTCCTTTTCAGAGGTGATGCTGTCACCACACAGCAGTGGCAGCTGGATCACAGCTCCCCCAACACCCACCTGAAGCCTAGGGAACTCCCCAGTTCCAAAGCAATCATTGATTCTACTCCTGAGTCTACTCAAGAGCTAAAAACTCAAAGAAAAACAAAAATAGCAAAAGGCATAATCACTGTACAGCTGCTGGAGCTGAAAGCACTCCAGTCATGAAGCTGATCTCCCAATCAAGTGTTCTTGTTGTGACACAAGATAATCAAATATGCTGCCCCTATGTTTGTGCCTACATACCCAGTAGGACTTTCTGGAATACCCAAGCCTGCACTCCAGTCTCAAATGTAAGCAAAATTTTTACAGAATGCTTCTCATTCATTCACCCAGGGAAAAAAAAAAATAAGACTTTTTGCAGTGCTTGATTGTCCTTGTAGAAAAACCTACAGCAACATTTTTAGCTGCTTCCTTTTAGCTATGCTCATCTCCACTTGGGTGTACCCTCCCTCCACACTCACAAATCTGATCTCCCCCTCAGCATGGAAGAATTCCACTCCATGCTGTGCCCTAGAACTGTGGGTGTCCAGTGAGGCTGGCAGGACTCTGGCTCAGCATGCAGTTGAGACATCCTTGTTTGGGTTTCATTCCCAGACACCAATCAAGACAGACCCTGCCTGACAAGCAGGCTTGGCCAGCTCTGAACAGCCTCAGCCATCCATGTCAAAACTACCTGAACTCAATCAAGAGTCATTAACAGAGCAGCTTTTCCACATATTTATTGCACACTGATTACAAAAATCATTGGTTCAAGTTTCCATTCTAGGGAATCACCAGGAATAAGCAGTGGCCTCTACAATATGCAGGGTCTCTACAAATAAATGCCATTGGCAAAACTAAAGAGATTTTACATAGAACTGTGTATCAAAACCTTGTCTGTTCTTTCTCAAATAGCGTGAAAAAAGTCTTACCAAAACAGGCCTTTATAAACCACAAAAACAGGAGCTGACTATGTCACTACAGCACTGATCAGTACCAGCTGCTCTTGGATAAACGCTTCAAAAGCCTCAGAAGATGGGTTTAGCAACACTGAGCTATACCAGCACAGCATCATTTCTCAACCTACCAGGAATCAAGGCATTTTCAGGGCAGAAAAGGTTGTTATGGTCACTTTGTCACACCTGCTGTAGGCAGGCCAGAGACCTTCAGTTGCTCTGTTTGCCAGTGAGCAGAGCAGCTTGTGGCCACGTGTGCCCTGCTGATGCTGGCATGGCCATGGGAACAGCAGCTCTAGGGTACAGCTCCTGTGCAGGGGATGGAAGTGCTGAGATAGCACCATGCTTTGCTTCAAAATGTACTCCTTGACTCTGGGGCCAACTTCTACCCACTGGAACATGTTTTACCCCTATCAGCCAAAAAACTGAGAGCCCCACTCTTAGATACCTGAAAGAGTGTAACACACAGGTATCAGAGCAGAGGTATAAGGACATCTGAACCTCCCAACAGAGCCTCTAATGCACAAAGGCTGCTGGTGAACCCATGATGCCACTACCCACCACCAGCTTTCACCTCAAGTGTTTCAACCATAGCTGTAACCTGGCAAATACTTTCCAACTGGTGATCTGAACTGGCAGGTCCCCAGGACCTCACAACCCTCTCACTGGACAGTGCAAGGGCAGATTTTCTGAGCCAAATTCAAGGTGCTCAGACACCCCTTCAGTGGGACTCCACACACAGGTACCAAACAACAGCTCTGTTGTTGTGCTGCCAGTGGCTGAGTACAGGAGAATGTCTCTCTCTGCTCAGGAGAACAGCCCCATGGTGATCACCAGGCATGGCACAGGACTGCTAAGGCAGTGACAGAAGTATCTGAAAGAAAGAAAAAATACGCAGTGTTTGGCTTCTAGGTTAAAAACAGTAAGGGAAATGAGGTTGTATGTTTCTCTTTAATAAAAGCTTCATCTGTTGGCACTAGCCCAAGCTTTTCCTCCTTTAAGAATCCAAACCTCATCACTTAAATATTTATATAGCAAAGGAAACTTGACAATGTGTGTTTCTTAAAACCAGCTGTTGCTCTGAACAATCTCTATATAAATCCTTTACAGGGAGGCCACCACTTCCACTGCAGACGTCTACTAAGCTGTAAGTTTACACCTGCATGTCTCTGTATTCAGTTTATTCACCAGGTGTATTCAGTTTATTGGAACTCTGAGTATACCACTTACCTTGGACAACTGTGTTGATCTGAGATCTATTACTCTGCATTGAAAGGTATCTCAGATAAGGCAAAACCTGTTCTTATCTCTGGCCTGTATACAGGAACTCTGGCTAAACTACATCATGTGGTAAGGCAACAGTCAAAAATGAGTTTGTTCTAACATTATGTTCTGCGAGCTGCATTTTTCCTGGTACCTGTTGGGTCTTTTTCCTCCTTGTTCCTTTTCCTTATGGGCGTTTACTGGCACACAGTAAAATCCATCCTCTGCAAAGGACAGAAACTCATGCCTAAAGCTCTGGTTTTGGCCAGCTGAAGCCCACAGGCAGTCCTCATGTGCAGCAGTGATCCATGCATCCCTGCAGGACTTGCAGCATCAGGAACTGCCAAAGGACAGGGCACCCCTACCATCCTCCCTCAGCAGCTAACTGGGGACTTTGCCAGGGCTGCCCAAACCCCTTCAGGCCAGAACGATCCCTTTCCCAGTTCCTGTGATTTCAAATTCACATTGTTGCCGCTGGAGGGCATCACGTGAAGCCCTTTCAGAAGGCCACACTGGTCTAACACAGGTTTCTGAGGCTGAAAAGAGTTTTCAAACCAGTTACCGTAATCCAAGGGATGTCCAGTGTCCCTCCTCACCCAGTGCTGGAGCCGGGAACAAAGGGCCTGTGAGCAATTAAACAGGTGACACATGTCAAAGGCACAAATACAAAAGACAACACAATAGCGGGAATACATTTAATCTAGATTTAAAACAAACACATCCAACCTTTTACTACAGAAACACATGACTTTTAACCTGCTCTCTCTCACTGCTAATAAAACACTGTAGGTAGATCAAGTAGGTCCTGACTTTTATCTCACAGACAGGCCTTGTTCTCCCACCATTTAATTTAGGAGGATAGTATCAGTGGAGTCAATATAGTGGCACTGGCTCCACTTTCTTAGTCCTCCAGATGAATCTCCACAAGAAACTCCTGAAAAGCCTCAGACCACACTGAATTCTCCTAAAGTAGACAGCAAGGCCTAACCAGGAAGGCAATTCCCTATTCCTGTCTTCAAACCCAGCTGAATCTTTTTACTGTTCACCTCTGTTTCCCAATATCATTCATTAGCAGCACACAGCACAGCAACCAAGGACCGTGCAAAGGTGAGGCTTTGCTTCCTGCTCACACTTTACTGCAGTCCTGGGCCAGTCCAAAACACAACACGGCCTTTTATTGCGTTTTCTCTCCATCGCGTTCATGGTGGTGTGCTAAGTTGTCAATATATACTGGGACTCAGCTTACCCACCTTACTTAAACCTTTTCCAAACAAACTTACTTTTCAAGCTTTACTTGCTCTGATGGAAGCGATACTGAGACATAAACTGCTTCACAAAATGGCTGTAAGGGGCTGCACCCTCTGCCAAAAGGGTGCTCACCCCACAGCTAAATAAAAGCTAAATAAAATCCAAACACCAAGCTATGTCTTAAACAGCCCCAGAAAGGCTGCACTAGCGGGTCCCGGGCTACCTGACTAAACCACCACCACCACGAGCAGCCCCGGCCGGGCGGCAGCGGGCCCGGCGGGCAGCGCTTACCTGGGCCCCGGGCGGGAACGCCTCTTCACGGGCTCCGCGCCGGCCGCGGCCCGGGGCTCCCGGCGGGACGGGCACCACGGCGGCGGCTCCAGCAGGGGACACGGCGCTCACAGGCAGAGCCGTGGGTAGCCCGGGCCTCGGCGCCACGGCATGGGAGCCGCTCCGGCCGCACGGCCACGGGGCCTTTCCGTGTGCGAGCGAGCGCGGGAGGCCGTGCCCGAGCTCCGCCGCTCTCCCGCTGCCGGCCGGCCGCACCCGCGCACCTCAGCCTGCAGCGGGAGGAGCAGGAATGGGGCCGGGGCCCCGCCGCCATGAACTCCCCCACCTCCCCTCGTGGCGCCGCCATTTCCCGCGGCGCGGTCGGAGCGCCCTCAGAGAAGGCGGGGAGAGGGCGGGCGCTGCCTACCTGCCTTCCTTACTTCCTTCCTTCCCCTCGCTTCTTCCTTTCCCTGCTTGTGCCGGGCCAGGGCCGCGGACGGCGAGAGACCGCTCGAAGTTCTCCCCTACAGTGGGCGCTCTGTTCCCGCAGCCCCGGCCTCACTAATGCAGCCTTTTCCCGAGACATTACGGACCGAGCCGAGCTCACCACGCTCGGCACCCACTGGAGCCCTACCTGCCCTGGACTGGGCCATGGAGCAGCTTCCCCAGTGATGGCTCCATCCACACACAGCTGAATTGTTGCCTCCAGCAGCCACCATCCCGTGCAGCACCTGCTGTGCTTGTCCACATCCATTCATTCCCATAACATGTGCTTGATCCTGCAGAGTGAAGCACGAGAATAACACCGGCTGCTAGCACAGCCCTGGCCAGGCTGAGGGAGAGCCGCCAGCTCTCAGGAGCTCCTAGGTGTCCAGCAGGATTGGGGCCGGACAAAGCTGCTGATTCTCACCCCTGAGGTGGGTATTCCACAGATCCCAAATCATCTGCACGGCGCCCTCATCCAGGCTGGGCTGAGCCAAAAGGTATCTGAGGTATTTTGCAGACAGTTGAACACTAAAGCTTTCTGTCAATCTCTAAATAAAATCCCTTTAACATTCCCTTTCTGACATTGGAAAGTGAATAGTCAGGTGATGCCTGCCCCCCCCCAACACATCCTGCCTTGTGCCCCTGTGCTGAGGTGAAAGCTGCAGCCAGGCTGCTGTAATAGAACTATGAATTGTGCCTGTGCAGTGACAGTCATATACTTCATGGTCTGTGTAATAAAATGCTTGATGAAGGAAACATTTTGCCTCCCATGCATGGATGCATGTCGTTTACAGTGAGCATTTATTATGCCGAAAATTTCTGAGCATGCCCAAAGCGATGGCTTGTATTGACATACAGGAAAGGACATTAAGAATCAGTCTGACTTCCTCACAGCCTGCCCAACAGAAAAAAAAAAAAAGCCTTTGTTTCTGGTGGAGAATTTCAAATTCAGCGTCATCATTGTTACAACCTGTTCTCTTGCTTTGGATTTCTCTGTGCACTAATCTTAGAGTTCATGTCTGACTCTTAAAAGAGTTCAACCAAAAGGCCAAAGGATAGACAAAAATGTAGACACCTATATAAACAGCTGTTTAAATTAGAAACTGATGGTTTGGTTTTGTTTGTTTGGTGGGTTATTTTGTTGGTGGTGTTTTTTGTGGTTTTGTTTTGTTTTTGTTTTTCTGCAAATGGAAAAGCAGCCATTGGCTTTTGGGCCGTGCTGTCTCAGTCCCTGTGTGGAATTTTGCACATTGTAGATATTTCATGACTGGGTCAGCACAGTGGCACAGCAGTGAGAGCAGGCCTGTGTGGGGCTCTCTCTGCTTGCAGCACAGGAAGAAAATCTAAGCTCAGGGTGATCTGATCAGAGGAGGTGGAACTTAGCTCAGCCATAGCACTGTGGCATTTCAGCTACACACTATAATAATGTGACCATATATTTGCAACCGGGCTTAGGACAGATTTCCTTCAGAAAGACAAAATAATCTAAGAAGTGGATCCATGGGTAAGAAGTAACACTCATGAGGCAGATTATGAACAGAGCTAAGCCAATGAAGTAAATATAACTTCACCAAATTCAATGCATTGGGAAGAACTTTTAAGTCCCAAAGTAGGGCTACTGGTAGGCAGATGGAAGAAATAAAACCCCAAATCCAAAGTCCCTTTTCTCAGACCACCTTCTACAAACACGATTGACTCTTGTTACAACAAAACAACACAAATACACTTTGCTAATACCTACTGAGCCAGACTCAAACATGTCACTGATATTTACTTAACAAACATTTACGTATGTACTCTGCTGTGGTTCAAAGAACACTTGTTTATTTAGAAAAACTTATTTTAAAACAAGGCTTTGAAATTGTTTGTTTTGTTGTTGTTGTTGTTGGAGTTTCTGTGTGGTTTTTGGTTGGACGGTGGGTTGGTGTTTTGGCTTTTTTTTTTGGTTTCTGGCATGATAGAGCAGCTAAAACTTTGTGCTTTCTGACCTTGCCTTGTCGGAGATCTGTCCTAACAGGGGACAGCACATTGGCACTTAGTCTGCCAGTGTGGATTTTGAGGGGCTGGGAGAGGCCACTCACTTTTAGGGCTTGGTTGACAGGTGAAGAGACTTCACTCTGCTCTCTCAATGTCCTGACAACTGTCTGTGTACCAGCAATTGCAGTCTTTCCCCCTCATTAACCCCAAAAGCCGTGTCTGATGTTACCCACCGTTCTCAGCCCAATCCCAGAGGGGTGGCTGGGCATCTCACCTGCTCCTGAGTGTCCCATTCAGGCTGTGTCCTTGTAGTCTGCCTTACGAACGGTAAGCGGAGTGTGAAACAGCCGGTACTGCCCGGTAACAGAGAGTGAAACAGCCGGTACTGCCCGGTAACAGAGTGTGAAACAGCCGGTATTGCCTGGTAATAGTGTTGAAACAGCCACAGTGCCCGGTAACAGAGTGTCAAACAGCCGGTACTGCCCAGTAACAGAGTGTGAAACAGCCGGTACTGCCCAGTAACAGAGTGTGAAACAGCCGCAATGCCCGGTAACAGTGTCAAACAGCCGCACTGCCCGGCGTGGGGACAGCGCTGTGACTCCGTGCCCGCCGATGGCATTCGGCTCTCCCGCGAGTCTCACCGAGCCTGGCACACAGTGCAGTGGGAGGACGAAGCTCTGCCATCTCAGGATCTCTGACCAGCATACCAGAGGCAAGCCTTTATGAAAGCACCCACTTTCTACATTTCCTCTTCCCATTTTTTGGCGAGATTCTCACCAGAGCCCTCAGCAGCAGGCAGGCAGCCCCAGGACTAGGCCAGGGATTGCCCTGGTGTGGGTGCCCACAAGCCCCTGTGCTTCCCTGCAGCTCATTTCACCCACCTGTGAAAGGGCTCTGTAGGTCTGCTTGTAAAGCTTAGAGATCTGTAAAGGAAAATTTTCTTTTTCTGTGTAGAATAATATTACAAGTAAATTAACTTTTGAGGTTTTTTTGGGTTTTTTTTAAGGCAAAAAGGGACAGTTCTTTCTGGAGGTGAAAAGCAATATTCCTCACACATTTTACACTGCAAATACCAAGAAAATCTTATCAAGCATATTCCATTTTATCTTTAGGCTGGAGACAAAGCCATACCTCCTCCCCCAAGCTGGGGAGCTGCAGGATCACCAGATTGACGTCATTCTCCTTGGTGATAAAACATGCTGCATGCTGAACTTGGCATTCAGCATGCTCAGGTTGAGCTAAGAGCTAATGTAATGAACTCTGGGGAAGGATTTACATCAAATACCACTCTGGAATATTAAATACAGACAAGACTAACTTCTCACTTGAATAATTACACACTGGCTGAATTCCTCCTTTAGTTTCAAAGAGGAATCACCTTTCTCACTTCCTTTTGAAAATTGTATGCATTGGTGCACTGTTTCACTACCTCTGTAATAAAAGGATGAAGTGATTTCTGTTAAGTACCACGGCCTGAACTGAGTTTCAGCTCTAGCAATGACTCTTGCCACTCGACGGGGGGAGCAAGCAAACCGAGAAAAGGCAGATTCAAATTTCAACAAGTGTCCCCAGCTGCTTGTGCTTGCTAACATAACCTCAAAGGCAGAGGTGCTTGGGAACACTCCTGACTTCACTTTGCATGTGGGAGTGCAGTACTAAAGCTTTGCACACATATTCCCACTGCCCCAGCAGCACTGCAGTGCTCACAAGCTATTTCAGTTGTGTTTGTACTCTCCTTCTGCCTGTGGATACCAATGTAAGGCTTTCAGCCATTGTAAGATATTTATCCAGGCTCATTTTGAGCCAGAAAGAAAAAGATTTTCTTGTGGTAAAAGCTGTAGTAAGCAGCAAGAGTCAGTTTGAAAGACAAGGTTTAGTCTCAGCATTGTGACTGTGTGTTTGAGGGAGATATTTAGCCAGTGGAAGTTAAAGGAAAGACTCCCAGCCAATGAAAAATGCAAGCAGAGAAGCTGGAAGAGAGGGGGAAAGTGGAACATGAGAAGACCAAAAGACTGTTTCCTAGCCTAACACTGTTAAACCACAGGCAGGGCTTGAAGATCCAGGACTTCAAAGATATTTAGAAGCCTCTAAGCTACTTTGCTTAGTGGCTCTGGGTTCCTTGCTTCTCCTTTCCTAGCTCAGTTGCCTTGATTGCTAAAGAGGCAACTGCCTTCGTTTCACAGGGTTTGCAGAGCTGAGTCCACTGAGGTTTGCATGGGAAATGTTGGAGGAGAGTCCTGAAGATGTTGAACAATGGAAAAAAGGAAAACATGAGACACTTTGTCCAAGTCACATTCAAAGCAGGCACTGAGAGAAAGCACAGTAGAATTAAGCCACAGCCCTTTGGTCACAGAGCCAAAGCTTCAGCAAAAACCAGCTGAAACACCTGGACATCCCCTTTGTTCTGAACCAGCAGCACAGGGCTGCACAGGGACATGGCACCGATTTGACAGCTTGTTTTCTGCATCTAAACACCATGTCAGGACAGACTGCACTCCATCCTGCTATCATTTAACAGCACCCCTGGGACCCCTGCACCTTGGAGGCATGATGTCACACATGAGCAGAGAGATTATTTGTTTTGAAGCTTCTGAATAGCTCTGAGACCTCATTTCAAGGCACTCCTTGCAGAGTCATGACTCAAAGCCTTCTGGTCTCACTGAAGGGCACAACTACTACTGTTTGCCTGTGCTGTTTCTCAGCACACAGCCAGTGATTATTACATATCTATTATCCTTTCTTCACTTTTATGCAGGAATGCCATTACTCAATTCCTTCATGTTCAAGACACATTTATTTTTAAATGTGCATTTTAAAATTTTAAAATTTTAAAATGCTTTATCAATGATTCCTCTACTGAGACAAGCAGAAACACCCAGAGAAAAAGGCACTGCAACAAAAAAACAAGGCATTCATTCAATTGCAGGAGATTTAAAATTTATATATTAAATTATTTATATAGCCACTGGGTAAACTGCAGTATGAAAACCATCATCAGACTTGTGATAAGGTAGCTGTGCTTTTGCTGAAAAGACAACATTGTTTTTACCAGATCATAATAATTCAGATTCACTTGGAGGCATCTACAGTGATACTCAGGTTTAAAAGCAGGATTACCTGATAGAAAATATGCAGCATGGAAAATAGAGCCATTCATTCTGTCATTTAATGCTGAATTGTTGAACCTTATTAAGTTTTAAAACACAGAGCTTTTTACTAAAGCCCTGGAGGTGCATAAAGGACCTCTCCTTCATCATGTCTACATTGGAATTTACTCTTGTATTAGCATTAAAGCAAGAACAAATGAAAAGAGCAGACAGTGCATAAGACTGCCAGCCTAACTGAAACTGGGAACACTTCAATCCCACTCAGTTTATTCCAGTGTTCTCCCTTCCATGGTGAAGGACCATCAGCAAAGCCATTTCTGTCCCCAGGAAGCTGCATCACTGAGTGAGAATTCAAAAAGCTGGAAAGGGTTCAGAGCACAGGGCATGTGATGCTGCTGTGTAATCTTGGAGAATAAAGGAGGGAATCTGGAATGGTTAAAGCATGTGCAATGGGAGGAAAGACATCTGCATCCTGGAGCAGTGAATATCAGGTTAGAGCTATCACTGCTCCAACAGCAAGGCCTTCATGCTCATGGACAGCAGCCTGGAATCATCCCCATGGAACAGGCACAGCCTCACAGTGCACAGAAAGCTTCAGAGGTGTGGCTTGGAGAGAGAAGCTCAGTGGGAAGAAAGTCAAGATCAGGCATCATGGTTCCAGATTTTAGTTATAATCTGTCCTTGGCAAATTTAGATGGACAAGAGAGTGAACAAAGCTGCAGTAGCTGAAAATCAGTGTTTTATGTTAAGTGAAATTATTGTACACCAATATGGACATAAATCTGGCTTACAGAGAAGGTTAATTAGCACAGTTCTACATTCCAAGTAATGGAAATAAAGATGTAGTGTGAATTTCAGGGAATTAATCATATTGATCCCATCTTTTCAGTGATGATGCATCAGGCACTTCTATAGCAGATAAAATTAACTGCTTTTTTACCATATTAGAATATTAATTATGCTTATGAATAAATATTTTTTCTGGGCAGTTTAACATCTTTATTGATGATCTGGATGAGGGATCAAGTGCACCCTCAGTCAGTTTGCAAATGTAGCCAGGTGGGGATCAGTCTCTCCTCCCAAGAAACAAGTGATAGGACAAGAGGAAATGGCCTCAAGTTGCACCAGGGGAAGCTTGGATTGGATATTAGGAACTTTTTTTTATTTCAAGGGTTGTCAAGCACTGGAAGAGGCTGCCCAGGGCAGTGGTGGAGTCACCATCCCTGAACGGATTTAAAACAATGTGTAGATGTGGCACTTGGGGACATGGTTTAGTGGTGGATTTGGCAGTGCTGGACCCCAGGAATGGCTGGACCCCATAATCTTAAAGGTCTTTTCCAGTCTAAATGATTCCATGATTTTTACCTGCAGACAAGTCTCTGGACCCACATGCTCATGCCTACACTTCCTCTCCCATCCTTACTGCACAGAGAAGCAGAGGAGACACTGATGGTGCCATGCAGTTTTCCTCTAGTGGAGACACAGGAGCCTGCAAGGAACAGGAGACATTAATACCACGTGGCAAATTACAGCTGGTTACAAGAGATGCAACATAGGGAAATATAATGTGACATTGCCAGGAAAATTGTAACTCTCTCTTTCCTTGCAAGTTCCCTGTGAAAACAGGACACTTGTTTTATTGAGCTTCAATGAAAACATATTTGCTCCTTCAGCTTTGATTGTAGAACCTCTGGAAGACTGACCAGAGAAGCTTCTGTCCTACTACTGTCAGTGGGACAGTGGCACAGTCTGGGCACCCCTCACAGGGTCTGAGCCCCCTGGCTTAGGCAGCATGCACACAACAATGAACTACATGGAATTATGAAAGGGAATTTCCTGCCCCAACAGCATATAACTGCATTCTGAGCAGGTATAGAGACCATGCAAGGGCAGAAGGGCATGACACTAACAGGAATAAATGGTGACAGCCCATCAGTCTCACTGGCTTGGAGAGGAAGGAGAAACAGAAGCAGCTAACACCTGGAGAGGTCACCTCTTCCTTTCTTACCTTAAGGCTGCTACTGCAGTCCCTGAACTGCTCCCATCATCCACCTCTCCCCAGCTTCTGCTTCTTCAGAAATGGTTCAAAATGTCTCTAAAGTCAACTCCTCTGCAGTAACAACAGTCAGCAGCCCTTTCAGTGCCTTTGGATGCCTTTCTGTCGGCTGGGAAGGCTGACAGGGTACTCCTCCAAGTCCTCCAGTGAAACACAGTGTGGCACTGCATGGAGCTGCAAAGAGACTTGTCCAAGGGTACACAAGGGTCTGATGGCCTTGCCAAGGGCAGGCCACAAACACAGGGGCTTGCCAGCTACACCTTTCATCACCCGTATGCCACTCAACCCCCTCAACCTTTCCTTCCCCCCCAAAAAAGGATCTTAGTTAAATAAAAAAAAAATTAAAAGAATTTCATGTGTTTGTTAGTCTGCAAACTACAAAGTGCATATACATTTCAAATGAATTGAGTAGGACTTGACACTTCTTAAAATATACATTTTATTATTTTCTGGTAGTTGCTATGAAGGTTTCATTCAAATCGTGAAGGTACACAGCCTTTACAAACTTCTTGAGTTGAAGGTTTGTGTTGGTAGCTTTATGTTCTTTTTCTTTTTCGGCAGAGGAGAATACATTGGCTATAAAATGTTGAAATTCATTAGATGCTTAGTATCACCTCTTCATATACGCTGTGGAATGCTTTGTAGAAATACTATATAAAATAAGGCAGACTTTAACAGGGAGTTCAGTCATAAAATGTCATGGGAGAAAACAAAGAGTTCCAACACATTATTATTTTTGTAGCCAAGAGAAGATCAGGTGGTCCTCACTGGTTTGTGGGAGAACTACTGCAGTTCTGGTGCTCAGACAGTATACAGTTCTTGTTTATTCTACTATTCTCAAGTGAGACCTTTTTAATAAAACTTACTTTAATTAACATAAATCAGACAATATTTAAACATACACATCTATCCTTACAGTGCAATAAAAATGTATCATTGTATAGTATTTTGTATTTGCATTATGAAAATAAAAGGTCTGTACATCAATTAAATGTATATTAATGGGTATGAATCATGTAAATTTATAATGCATCTAAAGTTGGCTTTGGCTTTTAAGTATTTATAAATTCATAGAAAATATTGAACATCTAACAAAATAAATAAAACATAACATTTTAATCATAGATGCTAACGATCAACCTCAAAAATTCTTGTGTTATTTTTTACATTTGCTACTAAATTTCTTAAGGAGAACTCACTTTCAGTAGTGCTCAGAAGTGAATGATTGCACCTTCTGTGATGTGAAAAAATACAGTACATCTATTTTTCATAGATCAAAAAATTCTTTCATAGACAGTTGCATTTTAAATGTCTGATTGTTCTACATAACTGTCTGAAGTGCTTATAAAAAGCATGTAGCTTTCTCATAAAAGCTGTGAGTCTCTATTAATAGATAAACTTCTAGTGAATGTCCTTTTCATGAGGATTCTCTTCAAGGTCTTCCAGCTTCACGTGCTGGTATGAAGATATCACAGAAGCATGTTCGTAATAAACCCTCTTCAGTACAAGTACTGCAGCAATCCAGTGTAATTCCACTTGGTGGGCTTATTTCATCTGAGTCTACACACGGGACTTTGGGAAGTCAACTGCTGACCTCGTGTTCTCTTGCATGTGAAAGTTCCCCAAGTGCATGGGCTAGCTTTACTGTAATACTGAAGAGACCAAAACAAATCTGAATTCACACAGATAAAAGTGAGCTTGAATAAATATCATCTGGCTAGTGAATGACACACCATGGTCTAACTGCTATTCTGGTGGTGGTCGGAGGACTCGCAGGTTCCTTCCATCCAGTCCTTTCCAGTATTTAATGTTATTATTCAGATGCTCCATCAGATTCGGCAGGTCGGCAAATGCTAGGGAAGGAAGGGCAGAAAGTATTGAGCTTGCAGAACTGAAACAGTCACAGATTCTGTCTGAAATGTTTGGGCAACTATGTTAAGTACAAAAGCTTAAATCTGTCACCCTGAGTCTTGAAATAGTGTTGGCTGTACAGCTCTCAGCACTCATGTAACACTGGGGCCACTGAGAACTGTTCTGCAAATTTACTTAATACTGGTATTGTGAGTCCCAGCAAAGGAACACAGTTTTCCAGGAGGGGCATAGCTAATTATGGTTGTAATTATCCTGACCCATCAAACCTCAGTCACATGTCATGATCTGGCATTCAGGGGAGTCACATTTCTGACCACTTTTACCATGGAGGCAGCACTTGGAAGGAAACAGCTGCTCCCCCAAGCAGATTACAGACAGCAGAAATTTGCCTTGAAGAATAACCAATATTAACATGGTCAAAATGACTGTGCTCAAAGAGCTATCAAAGAGAATGTGTTCTGTTCTCTGTTTACAGAGAAGCAAGTTTAAGAAGTTAAAGATTGCCTGAATCTAGTATATTATAGGCAGGCCATGAAAATTGTTTGTAGCCATACTTATAAGCAATAATGAAGTTATTAATCTTACTTGAACTGCAGGAATCTTCCCTTTTCTCTCCCTTTATTTAGGAGCCATAAAAAAGAAATTTTGTATCACAGCAGCTTCAAATGTTCATATCAGGAAACAGCAGAGTTTTGCTTACCATCCCAGGCATCAAACATATCAATAATGAAGTAATCAATGAATGATAATTGGGATTTGGGGATGCTGCAAGTATTTCTGTCAAAAACTGGCATCACAACTGGTAAACCTTGCCTCCTTTCTTCATCAGTCTGCAAAAAACATTCGTGATTATTCATCTAAGACACATTCTTTTAATGGGCTTCTTTTAGCAGCAGATTTTTTGGCACTGACTAGAGCATGCATCTGCTAAATCAGAGGAGGAACCTGAATAAATCTGAAGCAGCAGCAACTTAATCTCAAGCAGCTAGTTGTTGTTCAGTTTCAGCAAAACAGCAGAAAAATAGTGCCTTCCAAGGTATTTACCTTCTCTATCTGCACACAAGTTGACCCTAAGTAACTTGGCACACTACCAAGGTATGACTGCTTTGGATCTAAGAGCTGCTCAACCATTGTCAGCCTCTGATGGAAGCAGTGATCTGTCCCACTCAGACATGGCTTGGGGTGCCAAGTTCCAACTGCAGCGTTTGCTATATAATCTGTAATGATGACTGCCCTCTCCTTTTCCACATCTTCCTAAAGCCTTCCCTCAGCATAGTGTGCTAAGGGCTTACAGCATTTCTTGGAGTGAGTGCTGCTCCCATCCAAACACTAGAACCTGATGATCCTAGGCAATGATTCTTGATGATCCTTCCCATTCCAGAGGCAAAGCCAACATGTGGGTACAGAACACATCCTTGCTCTGTCCTATGGGAGTGCATTTGCAGACAAGGCTCAAAAAGCCCAGTTCCAAGCTGAACAACCTGAAAGCTTAGATTTTTCAGAAATTGCACAATAGAAGTTGTCAACTTTCATCTCTCTGAAGGCATCTAGTTGTGTACCAGCATGAGTAATACCCATCATTTAAAATAAAAAGGTTATTATTCCTCACATGACACAATGCAGCCTGAGACATTCTGTGACACCCTCCCTTTTAAAGAGGTGCTCACCTGCAGTTTCAGCAGCCTAGTTGAGCTGTCTTACCTGTGCAAAGTACTCCTCAGAGATGCGCCCAGCCCACTCTATGCACTGTTCTCTGGGTCTGCACGGGTTGGAAATGTCAGCACACTTTATCAACATGCGCTTGATAAGGATACGGTTTTCAGGAGACCTGAGAACAGTTTTGATTGACTCTCCATCACCATTATTCTGTAACATTTAAGAATAAAAAACAATCCATTAGCAAGGTCTCCATGCACTAACTCAAAAGCTTTTGTGCTTTGGGAATGCTTTCAGCACATCCTACAGGGATCAGTCCTGCTACTAGCTACCAGATTTGATGTCTAACTCAATTTATGGGTGGATTATCAAAGTTAGCCACAGCTCTGAGCTAGCACTGAACTCCAGTTTCTGGATTCAATCACTGGCTTTGTGACAGATCTCTTTGGCATTTCTGGGCAAGTCATCTAATCCCTCTATTCCTTATCTGCCTTCTCAAAAGTGTGGAGAGGATCAATTCATCACTACACACAAAGTGATGAGGACCGTGTAGGCAGAAAAATGTAACTCTCTGCTGAAACCCAAGGATTAATGGACTTGCACATTAAGAATGGAATAGTTGGTTTGAAAAGAGAGACTGACCCAAGATGCAGAGCCACCCTTGGCACACAAACCCCATCAGTGTACCAATCATTCTGACAGCACTGCCACTATTCAGAGAGTCAGATCCCACATTACCTCCCAGCATGTTCCTCATTCCTTTCCCTTGCTGGTGGACTCTTTAAGGATGGATAGGTACAGGAGTTTACACTGCTGTCTACTCAGAATAGAAACTCTGAAGCAAGGAACATACAAGACTTTTTGGCACCTAACAAGGTCTTGCTCCACAGTCAGAGCAGGGAAGAAGTAACAAACAGTAATGATAATAATAATGTGCTACCAGTTCCTGCAGTGTTTTGTACAAAGAGGGAGATACAAAGCAGCAGAAACATTCTGACCTTTTATTAGGTCAGAATAATCATGACATTTTTCAGAAGAAAATTCTTGTGGGGAAGAAAGTTCTTCCTAAAGGAAGAAACTGACAGTAATAAAAAAAATTTGAAAGTACAGAAATGGCTCAGAAATACCAGCTCCACAGGTCTCACTAAAATGAGATGCCTAAAGCAATTCTTTTTTCTAAGTATGTGGAAGGGAAAACAGAAGAAACAAGGTGAACTTCCAGATGCATGGGAAAATGATATACGAGAAAGCCAACATAAAGTGATGGAAGCTCCAGAAACACAAATATGGAACTGAGGTATGGGAAATTAAGATTGTTCAGTTACAGATGGTAGAGAATATCCCAGTAAATAAACCACCAGGGATCAAGAAAGGATGTTCACCTCTGAGATCTGCTCAAACCAAAGGCACAGTTGTACTTGCTGGATGCAGATGTCTTGGGAATAAAATGTGTTAACTGTGCTTAGTCCCAGCATCCTGCTCCGAGTGCAGAGGTGTCTCTGCATGTCACATGTTGGCTTCCTGTCATAGCTGAGGTGACATCATGAGGGGAAATGGGAGGATAGAGGATGCTGGAGCTGGAAAGGATTTTTTTCAGTTTATGAAACAAAAGCAGAAAGGAAACAAACAGAGCAGCTTCTCAGCATGGCTCTTTGAACAAATTTGTGTAAAAATAAAAAATAAATTAAAAAAAAAGAAGTGGAACTGTCCCATTTGGAACAGGCAGTTGGCAGCTCAGCCTGCAAACACTGCACTGAGTCACCACCATGACTGGAAAGCAGGCCAGAAAACACACACTGCTGCTGCAGCCAGAGGGACAGCAGCCTTGAAAGAGGGGCTGACAGTGTTGTTCTGCTCAGCACAATAAATAATTTGCTTTACCCACTCACACATTACAGGCCTTTTCACAGGAACTTGCCAAACTGAAACTCCCAGCTGAAAGAAGGGAAACATTTTGCTTCTTGTTTTCAATAGAAATTATATATTCTTTGTCTTCCCATCCTTGGGTACAATTTGCTGTGAATCACAAATGCCTTGTGGGGCACATAATTTCCCTGCAGTCTCTGGGGCTAAAGGGTAGAACTAAAGTTTTGTTTCATTTTTCTATGTCCCTGTTTTTTCTCTCTGACTGTACAGGTCCAAGCCCAGTTCTTCAGCAGCACCAGCTGTTGAACTCCCTGCAATAGGCAAGAAGAGGAGTTTTGCTTCTCATGGTGAAGGAACAAGACCTGTTTCTCTCCCACTCTTAGATAATAAGAAGACTGCCTTCCCCAATTACATACAACAGTCATAAATGTGGCTTTCTAAAAAACATGGCAAGAAACTACAGAAAACCATTACAGCTCCTCCATGACATTGCCACTGATGCAAGCTTTATCATAACCATTTCTGCAAGTCTTCTCTTGGCAAAAATTCCAACAAAATTATACACTGCTCTTACTGGTAACAAAACTACTGGTTGAAGCTGTTATTGAAACTGGTGTGGTTTTTCAGAGAGAGTTCTTAACAGGCAATTTCTTTGTGTCCATCGGGTTACAGATGGCTATTGATTATATGATACATAATGTCACCATCGTCTATTTTAAAGATTAAAAAAGAAAGCACAGAGAAACCCCATGAATGCTGCCAGGCAGCACTGGCGGCTGAGGGCCCTTATTGCCAGAGAATGCAAAACATGCCAACCCACAGACTGCCCTTATGCTGCACCCCAGCATGTCCCCTTGGGAGGGATGAAATTCAGCCTCTGCTTTGAGGCAAACCTCGCCTTCTTTGCAGAAACAGCCAACAGCAATGCCCAGTCTTGCCACTTCTTCCATGGGAGCAACTGGGTTAATCAAAATAACATTTTTCCATGAAAAGATACAGCCCAGGGTCCTGGTTCCAAGTACGACATCACAGCACTGTGATATTAATAGGATCCAAGTGAGCCTCACTCACCCTCAAAGTGAGTGACAACCATGTTAAGCAGAAGGGGATTCAATCCCAGAGGTGAAAGATCAATCTCCAGCCTCTCTTTCTCCACATTTCTGATAAACTTTCTCAGAACACCATGTGGGAATTTCCCACTGCCAAGGGTTCCCAGTCCCTGCCTAGGCATTTTAAGCAGGACTTGCAGTGTTGCTTACCCCATTTTCTTCTAGTGCTGCCAAGGGTTTATTAATGCTGTTGACAAACTTGTTGACATGCTCAAAGTGCTTTGTCATTTCTGTTGCTAAGACCATGTCAATAATGACTTGGCGAAGGGTTCGATACTCATTCCTGTTTAAAGAAGGAAACAATTAAGAATGCTGGCTGGGTCACAAAGGGCTGGTTGCTAAAACAAGTCTAACAAAATTGCAACAGACCATTCCTGTTTGAGAGAGGTGCTAGGGGAACAAAGAACAGCAATAAAGGCTGGGGCAGCTGTGTCTCTGTTAGATGTAGGTGTGTAGGGACATATGTGCTCCAGGCATGACTGGATCTCTAGGAGAAACAGTACCTGGGCAGAAGCAGAGGCACCAGCTGCTTAGGAGGCTGCTAGGACATGCCACACCTGCATGTTCCCAAGGCTTTTAGCACAGACACCCAGCTGTGGCTCACTCCCCAGGCAAGTTTTCAGCAATATTTTTCTGTTGTATCTTGAGAGAACCAAGGCAATGGTCACATCCTTGCCCTGAATGCTTCTCTGAGGCTCCAAGAGCAACAGGTCCTTCATTATCCTTCACAGTGCTCTGTGGCTCTTTCTCTCCTTGTTCTCTACCCACCCGGCCATAGCTTGTTCTCTACACTCAGTGACACAAAACAACTCTTCTAGACTTGCTCACATTAAGATTTACACTAAGTTCCTTAGATAGGGTCTGCCTTTTCATGGACAGGAGAAACTGACAGTGGGGATTTACTCAGAGGTCTTTGCAGGAGAGACAGAAGCATTCTACTCTTGTAGAAGCAAATTTCTCAAGGGCCACGGACAGTTCTCCACCAGGCAGTGCCCTCCTCTAGGATGCCTGTTTGCCTTATGGTACACAGAAGGAAGTGAGAGATGTAGGTGGGCACACAAGGACCCTGGGGGTCAGAATTACCTCTCCATGTTTTTAAAGATGTTGCATTTTCCATCCCGGGTGGTGAGCTGGAAAGCCAGAGCAGCGTGGTGGCTCTCCAGCACGGCTGTGTCGTTGTAGAGGATGGCGAGCTCGCTGCCAGCGTTGCACAGGAAGGAGTTTGTCCTTCCTGGGTGATCCACATCGTGCACTGTGGCAGCAATGAGCGCGGCAACCTCGTCAATCGGATCCAGGGTTTGCTGAAAATAGAAGGGTGCTTAGTTTTCCTGGCAGACTCATTAGGAACCCTATTCTGTCCATAAGATTAAGCCAAGTCGCTGAGGAATAAAAGCCAAAACTCTGGAGATCAGCAAGGGTCAGATGTTCTACACAGAGCAATGGAAAATTCATTATAAGCTTCACTGAACATTGCGTGACTTTTTTGGCCATTTTGTACCCCTTAAATTTTGCCTTAACCACACCTTTGTCACAGCACATCAAATTAAACAAATGTAAAGTAATAAATTAGTTTGTGTTTTCTAGCAACACTGAAACCACCTTCATTTGGAGTTAAGGTATTTGGCTTGGAAAAAAGACCACTACTGCTAAAAATTATTCTATTAACACCCTTTAATTTCCTTTGTCAATTTAATGTGTCCTAATCATGTTCCCCTTACGTGCTGGCTAGGTTTACAATTTGAAAGAAACGTTATCCAGTTCCTTAATAACACTGTCCTGGGTTACAGCTAATGCATATTCTATGGAGAATATTCAATGTTTTGTATCCATGGATAAATTACATGACACATGTTCTGTACTTTCTGTGTCACATTCTGATTCTGGTAGCACGCTGCACTCCAAGCTTTAAGTCTACTTGCAATGGGCATTGCTTTATGCCTATTTTTATCTACCCTGTCATGAAGTACAAACCTATTTGACTCTTAAGATTTTACACTTAAGTGTTAATACTTTTAATAATAGCATAAAGGAGAACAAGAACTAAGCATCTCAGAAATATTTTGTATACATTTGGAAACCAGCCTTTATGCTGGTTATACTGGCATTTATGTGAAGGATCAGATACAAAACAATTATATTAAAATTTTTAATAAATTGAAAGAGACAAAAGAGCAGAAATATTCCCATTTGAATCTGGGAGCAGAGCAGATAATTTTCATTCCAATTTGCTTTTATTTGAGGTCCAAATTCTCTGTGGGCCCACTAGTACCATTCAGAATAGTTACACTTGGAAGGTGAAAAGACAAACCCTATCCTTCTTCACACCTCCTGAAATTATGCAATGACCTGACTTTGCAGGAGCAGGGATATTATTCATTGAGGACTAAGAGAATCTCATGGAGAAAAAGAGTAGGAAAATAATTCTTTCTGCTCTAGTTCATAGTTAGCATTGTCTGAAATATTCTCTGCTGTGTGTTAACTTCTTCCTTCTTTCTTTCAGCTGCTGCTCATGGGATTCTATTTTTGTGGTATAAATGTCAGAGAGAGGGATTTGAGAGAGGGATTTTATTTTTGTGGTATAAATGTCAGAGAGAGGGATTTGAGAGAGGGATTTCCTCAGAGGGACACACTGAGCAGCATTCAGCCTGGCTGAGAAAGACCTGTGCAGATGGGAAATGGCCAGAAACATGAGAATACCTGGCCTGGAGGACCACAGCAGTATACCTGACTTATTTCACAGGGATTCACAGCACTTTTACACCCAACATCAAGGCAAGGATTCTAACTTTGTTATCTTAACTCCATGAAAATGTTTTTTTCTCAGAAAACAGTTCTGAGAATATGGCTTCAATTTCGAGGCCAGAAAATCTTCCTAGGCAAGTTGAACTGAGTTCAAGTTACCAAAAAAAAAATATTCTCAGCATGAATTTCAGTGGCAGAATTGGGCTTTCTGTTTAGATTAAGCTGAACTCTGTTCAACACAAAAGCAGCTGGGCTATAACTTTGAAAAGATGAAGAGAGAATTCTGAACTTTGATTCTGCTCCTTCTGTTGCTGCAACATTTTTTTCTCTTCCTATGCCTACAGAGGAATGGAAATAACATTCTGGAAAAAGAGGAGGCAGTCATGCTTCTGTGGCATTGAAATGGATCCAGATCTTGTCTGTTTTTCATAGATATTCTTGTGAAGACCAGCTAAACCTCTGGCAAATCAGGGGCTGAAAAAATCCAGTGACATTCTATCCCCACTTGGCATACAGTATTTGTAAATCAGCCTCTGGAGAGCACACTAATGAGCTGCAGCTCCAAGTTAACGGAATTACTACAGTTTAATGAGCTGTCAGAAGCTTGTTTACAGTCACAAATTTCTCAGCCAGGTGCCCATCACTGGTGCTATCCTTAGGCAGGCCAGTTCAGAACTTTTACCCAGGACTGTGACTCAGAAATATGTGCCACCACTCTACTGCACACACACCAAGCACTGCTTTATTCCCCTGCTCCAGTCTGGGCATGTGAGAGCAAAAGTTACTGATTTATTCTGGTTTTCATGGTTCTAATAGCCCAGAGGGTGTTATGGTAGTGACAAGTAATTTTTTTCAGTACTTTCCCGCAGTGCAGTCTCTATGAGCCTCAAGGCATCTTCTCCAGTGGGAGATACAGCCTACTTATGGCCTATATTGTCCTGGGAATTTTTTGCAAAATGACCATCACAAGACATAAGAGATGGTAATTTATCACATTAAATCTGTATTTGGCATGTGCCATCACAAAAATAATTATGTTATTAGCTCACCTATCTGAGAAGGTTTAACTACATGAAGGAGTTTTACTTGAAAATAAGGTTTTCTTATTCTCCTGTCAAGAACTGTTCAATTCTGTAATATTAGTATCCATCCTCCTACATATACTGTAAGAGAGATCCTAGAATTCATGCAAAGCTCAGTTTTTTTGACCTCAGAGTTACCAAACTAGTTGGCACTGGGCAGACGTTTGGCTTTTGAATCTGTTTCTGAGAGATCCTTCTTTGATTGCATCTGTATTCCCCACCTACATTGTTTCACACAGGTGTGGACTCACCTTCACTCTCTCTTTAGACAAGAAGTAAGCAGTAGCATGTAGTACATCTGCTGAATGAGTGGAATTGTGGTAGGAGTTGGAGGAATGGTAGTTAGCTTCAATAACTTGTAGCCATGACCTCAGAGTGGATTCTGAACAGTTTAGGAATTCACAGATTCCAAAGCGAGCAAATATTTTGAGACCCAGATAAACCAAAGGCCTGTGGAAAAAAAATAAACAGGAAGTTTTAAAATGAATGCAGCTGAAAGAATATTATATAGCATAAACAGTGTGAATCCACACAGCATTTTTAGCTAATGACATATGTAATTATTACAAGTCCTTACATGTGTAAGGACTTGTTACAGAATTACTGTGACATATTCTGGAATTGTACCATACATAAAGTCCAATCCCCCTTAATCCCCCCAGTGTCAGACAAAGGTGTCTCCAGGTTTCTCTGTCAGGGAACTGCAATGCACTAAAATTCAATTAATTATCCTGGCTTTATTACCATATGTCTGCTTGGACTTAAGGCAAGACTAGTAATATATTCATACTTGTGAGTCATTGAAAATCACTGTACTTATCTTAACAAATGAACTGCTGTCATTTACACACAGTAGGAAGCAATCATAATTACACTGCCTTTAATAAGAGTACAGGCAACAAAGTACCTCCTTTGTCCCTCTGTGGTCTCTCTACATCAGTGAGAACAGAGAAATCTACCTGGTGATCTCATGCACTCTGGCTGGGATAATTAATTAAGTTACTGCAATGTACCCATTAAACACTGTAAATCACAAAGACAGACTGTATTTTTACATCTTTATTTTTAATTACTTATCTCTATTACTTCATTAGAGATCAAAATGCAGCAAAGAAAGAAGATCTAAAGCAAGCGGATGTAAATACTTTCATTTAAAATAAAATAATTTTAAAGAAGAATAAAACCCTAGGTGGTTTTGCACCTTTTTGGCTCATAAAGCCACAGCCTAATAATGAACTGCATATTTGTTAACTAAGTGCCTGACATCTTTCTTAGACTTTGGTTTTGAATAACTTTCAAAGCTCTCACAGATCTGGGATTTTGACAAAAGGTTTAAGATAGTCAATTAATTGCATGATCTGGCCTCCAAATTAGCTCACTAAAGCTTTTACCTAAGACAAAGCATGATACATGAAACTAGACCCAAAAGGGGAACTTTTTATAAGCATGAGAAAATAAAACCAAGGATTTAAACAGAAAGAACAATTTACAGTCTTAGGGGGAGCCTTTGCTACTAATGAAGTACAGTCTATCAAAGCTGCTGATCTGCTTTTGAAAACTTCTGTGATGGAAATTAGTATGCCCTGCTTTTTATCAGTAAACGTTTTCAGTTAAGCTTATACATAAAATGTAACCTGCCAAAATTTTAGAATAAAGACCTTCCTCTAATCCCAGAGAAAGGTAATGGGAATTTTGCTGAAAAGCTATTCAGGAATAAAACCTTTCCAATCAAATGGAAAGAAAATAAAACTTCATCTGTATTAACTGATCAAATCAAGACCAGCATGTTGATTCTGTGTGCAGTTTGCCATAATAGGAATTTGAATCCCCACAAGAAAATAATTTGATTTGTATAACTTTTCTATTCCTGAATAAAGGAAGGCTTTAAAAAATATGCTGTATTGTCATTATACCATACCAAAGAGAAATAATCTTCACTTATATCCGTTGGGGAATTTGAAGGAAATAGTGCACGATGAAACAGAAGCTATTTAAGATGCATACATAGCTAGAAATAAGAACATTTCAAACATCTGACATTGAAAATAAAATTAATTCAGTTGTAAAAGCACAGGTAGAGAACTTAAGGATCTGATTAGAGGATGACATTTAAGTCAATTTTCAGCAACTGCAGTTTATGAGCTCTTGCATTTACTGACCTTTTATGGGTGGCAGCCTCAAGTTCAAAGATATCAAAATCCCACTGTTCCTCATTTTCCATTGCCTCTGTTATCCGTGGGGGTATGTCATTGAGGGAGATTGGAGAGCTCAGACTGCCAGCAACCTGATGAGTTTCTTTTGAGGAATACATATATGTATTTATTATCAGTATATTAAGTAGTATATTTAATAGTGAGATACAATTTTACTGAATGACTATGCATTCCCTACATTAGTAACACCTGGCTCAGTAATGCTGCAGAAAAATGCTTACAGATAAAAACCCCCAAACAAACAAAAAAAGCTTATTAAAAAGGATGTCTAATCACATTTCCCCCATTTCTTAAATTTCTGAACATGCTTTAGTATCTCAAATTAAATTAGCTGCCAAATTAAAACTTACGTTTTGCTGACAATATGTATTCGTTCCCTGATAATCTTCGTAAGCCATCCTGTTAAATGAAAGGTGCAAGGTAAATGGAGGGTATTGAACAATAGGTCTAGGAGATGATGAGTAGTAGTAGCACAATAACTTCAGAGAAGCCTGACTGCAGCCTGTCAGAGCCATCAGAGCTGCCTCGCCCTTATTTGTGCTGCTCAGATTCACCTGCTTTACACAGAGCTCGTAACAGAGGAGGAACTGCAGGCTAGGGGATACAATATGGACTCAGGCAGGTAAAAACTCAGGTTTCCCAGGTGCAGATGGAGGTCTGGAATTGCAGCCTCACATCTGTCTTTGCCTGGCCAATGTGCACACCAGCTGTGGGTCTGTGCCCCAGAGCAGACACGGCGTGTCCACACACTGCCAGCCAGGAGCAAAGGTGGGAGGGAGAGGATGGAGACATTGCCATGCTCCCCTGCCCTGGGACTGGCACATCCAGTCACCTCAGCAGCGAAACAATCTCAGGAGAATCTCAGGAACAAATTGCTGTGAGGCTTCCTTTCACACAGAACGTGAACTTGTTTGTTCTTCAGTTCCGTGCCTCCTAGGCTTACTTCTGGCATGGTGCCTAGATGTGAACACTGAGATGATGGATTAAAACTAACAGAATTATGTATTTAATATTTACTTTTCGTTTTATAATTCTAAATGCTGTGGCCCAAATCCTGCTTGCTCTTTTGAGGTTACAGCTGTTAGCTCATGTCTAGCCCATGATGTAAAAAACAGCGTTTAAAAAAAAATATTTCTGAATGCATCTTATTAAAAATGTTATTCACACCAATTATAGCTGAAGTAAAATGTGGATCCTGGATCTGACATGAAATATCCACTCTTAAAAGAGCTGTTATATCTAATTCTTATTTTCACATTTGTAAGTGAGTGAGTCTGGAGTTTTTTGATTTAAAAGGAAAGGGAACAGTGGCTGTTCAATAGAACTGCTATGACACAAATATTTAGGTCACCAGATGCTGCCTATCATTTAGAATCAAAGATTACTTTTTAAGAGTTGAAATAGCAGGTGTAATTGTATCTGGTAAATCTATCTTTAAACTCCAAATACCCTTCCTGCTTGAGAGTTCAAATCCAATAACATATTACTTGTTTCCTTTTCAGATGTAACTTCTGAACACAAATGGAACAATATAATTTGTTTTCAGCAGGCTCTTTGATTGAAAAATGTTTCTCTCCAATAACTTTAAAACTCATACCATGCCATATACTCTGAAATTAATTTTCTCAGCTTTTCTTATTGCTCCATAAAAAAGCCTTGGGCTTACTTTTAGTAAAGATTTTATATTTTGCAATATTGTTATCTTCATGTTCATGGACCAAATACAACAATTCACAAAAAGAAGAAACCAGTTGAGTTTATGGACTCTTATTTATTCAGCAGGAGAAAAGATTCACTTCAAGAGAAAAGATTCTCTTCAAGACTAATGATTATATGTATCAATGTTCTTCCTATATTTTTGTAGTTAAAGTAACAATAAATTTTGTCTATTCAGTTGGTAAATACAACCCAGTATGAACCATTTAGGTCTTCTCCTGGAATTCTTGGAGTCTCCAACATGTTTCTCCTGATTAGATATTTGCTGTGGTATTTTTAAAAGTAAAAATACACATAAACTATTTGAAACTACTGCAAAGATGTCCTGATAGTTCCAACATGAAATTATAATAGCCCAGAGACATCTCTGAAAAGCTCACTTTGTGAGCCTTTTTTCATCCAACACACTGTAAATTTTTGTCCTGACATAGCCTTTCACATGCAACCTACAGACTGATGAGAGCACATATCCTTAGGGCACAGGTAACATTCATCTAAACTCATCTGTCACCATCAGAGGGGTCAGACTCCAGGCTCTGAAGGTTTGGGTTCAGTTCTTGCTTCACTGTGTGCCCTTTGTTCAACTTTGGATACTGTGCTACAGGTACAAATATAATCCAAGAAACAGCAACAAATATATGTATTGTGCATCCTTTTGAAAACAGTCTTTGGTAGATTGAAAAGCCCCCCAAAACCACGTCATTTTAATCCTCATTAATAAATTTTTAAAAATATCTGGTCCTCTTTCTTTCTTCCTCTCCCATCTATACCTTACTCAAACGAATCACATTGAAAAAAATTTGGTTTTACTTTCTATTTTTAGCTAAACAAATGTTTTAAAGGGGCCGGTCAATTTTCTTCCTATTTTCAGAGCTACATTATTCAAGTAGGGGGAGAAAGTCCACAAAAAGATATGCGCAGTTTTTCCTGAAAATCTGGCATTGTAGAGGCAGAGCACATGGCAGATGATAAAGATCAACTAACTGGGAAAATCAGGCAGTGAACATTAATCAAGAGCTGTTTGTGGCAGTAAATACTTACTGTCATTAACCCTCCAACAAGGTCACTTGTGTGTGGATCCTCATCTTTTGTCCCCAGTTGTGGAGAGTACAATTCAGTGGTTCTTAAAATCTCCAAAGCCCGGTCTAAAGCTTCTGCAACTGGCAAGGGACTGCTCTCTTGTGCAGCATTGATGATGTTTATTACCTAATGTAGCATCAGAAATATTGTGAACTTTGAAGTGATATTTAAAAAACAGAGACACTCATTAATTACTATGAAAACCTCAGGAAAATAACAAGGCATAAAACCTTAATCTGCACGGGGGAAAACCAAAATGAAAGGGAGATGTTACTGAAATGCTGATGTTTGCTACTGACTCTGAAAATAAGATATTGGCCTTAAGGAAAGCGATCTTATTAATGACTTTCCCCTCCAAGGCACGGCCTCAAAATGTCTCTGAATGGATTTAATGTAACTTTCTCCCTTTGTTAAAGAGCTGGTTTTTGACAAATCTTTGAATGGTTTCAGAAAGCAGTTGACAATAAGTTTAAAGTAAGAAGGAGGAACTCCAGTCCCTCCTTCTTAAACAGGATCGTGTGAAGGCTGACTCCATGGATGACACTCTAGCAAGCAGGTTTGGGGGATTTTTGTTCAGAGTATCTGCCTTTTGGGAGCCACAGCAGTGGGAGGGTGGTGCAGCAGAGCAGAGCTGGGACATTACCTTGGTGATGGGAGCCTCGATAGTCATGGAATGGACCCTGGCCATGGAGGAGCGGCGCCGCTGGGAGCTGCCTGTGGCAAAACAGAGCAGAATTTGTACCCTGACTGCACAGACAAGGCTCATGGCAGGATGAACCAGGAACTCCTGAGGCCCTTCCTGCACTGCTTACCCTGCTGAGCCTTTCAGAGGCAATCTACTGCAGAATGCACAACTGCAAAGAGGCGCTGGCTGAACCACTGATGTCCCTGATTAGAGGTAAGTGGCTGTAACAGCCTGGCAAAATCATGGCTTTGCTTTATTATTTTAAATATTCAGTTATAAACTCAGTTAAAGGACTAGACAGATGTGGGTGTATAAACTGGCAGGCACAGGTAGGTAACTACTGAATTCAGATTATTACAGGATGTATCTACTCTTGCTGCCTGATGCAATAGGACAAGTCATAATGAGTCAGCTTCCAAGCTGAGGGAAATCACTGAAGCTTTTTTGAAGTGGGTACCTATGCCAAATAAAAGCAGCTGAGGTTTTGGCCTATTACATTGGAAATGTAAAAACAAATGTTTTATACTGGTTAGCAATTTTGGTTCTACAAAGAAAAGGCCAAGATGAGATTTTTCTGGATATTGTGCTACCTATGAAATGCAGACATCTCTATTACTTATTGTGCTGAGCAGTTCTTAAGAAGAGTCAATGCTATTTTTGCTGCACTGGAACATGACTGTACTCTCACTGGCACAGACATGCTTCACTAGTGTTTGCTGCCCAGACTGTGATGAGAGATGATTTAACAAAAGCATTTAAGTGTCAGCAACAGTTTTGAGTGTGTGACTCATCTATCAAGTTTGGGGTGATCTAACAGAGCAAAAATACACCACAGTGAAAGTAAACAAAATTAAGAAAAAAATATCTTCATATCTCTATCAAGGGAAGAGGTAAGAAAGGCAATAATTTGTGTATTGGGTTTGCATGACAACTCCAACTCAGCCAGACCCAACAGGATGAGTTGTTTCACATACCATCACTCCCACGAGATGTTGTGGATCTGACATCCAGGGATCCTTTCCTCATGTCTTTGTGTCTGCAAGTCTGAGTGTCTGTGAAGAAAATGATATTGCATAATGACACAAAGTTTTGCCTAAGATGTATGTTAAAGGAACTGAAGCTCAGAAAAGCCTGGCAGCAGCTGACACTGACCTCAATGCTTCAGCAGATGAGAGCTGATCAAAGTGCCTTTTAAAGCTCTTGCCATATCACACTGTCCTGAGCCCAGCCAAGCTCTCAGGCAGAACATGCCTAAATGTCAGTGCAGAAGCAAAGTGTGGAGAGAAGAGCTCCTCTGTCACCACTGTGACACAACTGCAGCTGTGAACACAACTCGTGCAGCACACCTGAGCTCACACAAGTAACCACTGCCACCAGGTGGGCCCAGCAGAGCACAGGCCAGCAAGGGGGGCAGTGAATCCCAGCTTCCTTAGGAACTCCAAGATTCAGCCTGTGCTGAGACTACAGTTAACAACAGCAGGGATGCCAAGGATGTCCTAACTGAAGTGCTGAAATGTGGGATGAGGGTGAATGACAGTGTTGGTCATCCTCATTCCCACCCACATGCAGCTCAGAGCAATGCAGACACAGGTGCCATGTGCTACAGAGCAGCCACAGCAACAGCATGACATGACAGCATCCTTCTCATTTCCAATTCTGTCACAGGGATCCACCACCCACAGCTGAATTGTGGCACTGAATCCAGCAACACCAGGACACCAACTTGGGGCCCTGTGACAGCATTTTCAAAGGTGGGCTGCTTTGTGTCACCTCTAAAGTGAGGCACGTAGAGGGGGTCTTGTAATTACTTTCCTGCCTTTTGAGTTGGATTCCCAGCTTATCACTAGGTAAACAGGACTGTTCTGTGAAACTGTTTTTTCAGTCAAATCACTAAAATGGCCTTTATTCTCCCCCCAGGTATATTCTCCAGTTCTTGGGACACAAGAGACATGTCTTACCTGTCTGAGATTCAGCCTGAATACATTCACATGTCTTCTCCACCTACAATTCAGTATGAGAAATCCAGTTAGTCAGAACTCTGCCATTATTTTGTTATACTTAGGGCTCAAACTAAAGTGAGCGTGGCACTGTTTTCACTTACCTTATTGTTGTCATTGCACAGTCTACTAATTGACACATAGTGTCTAATCTTTCTGCAGGCAAAAAACAGTGAGTTAATTCCCATCCAAACCTCAGCTCTAATTCAGTGTTGACACTTGGGTGCTCCAAAGGCTCGATTTGGGGACCAGGTGGAAGTTGCATAAAAATCTGGACATGCTTGAATCTTGCCCATGATCAAAGCCCCCAGTGACCTCATCCCATCACAAGCCTTGGCGAGAGCCATGGAAGGGGCACAGAGGAGTGAGCGTGGCAGGACACAGTACAGGGGCTCAGTGACACAGGATCGAGGTCCTGGTGACACCAACACCAAGCACAGAAAGACCAGAGGGTGCACTTGCACTTCAGGGAGAATTAGAAGAGTCAGTCACAACTGAGCACATCTGCATCTTTGGCTCCTTTTGGGGGAGAATTAGAATTTCACTTTCCCTGCACACAACATATAAAGTTGATTTTGCCCCAAGCAATTAAGCACAGAGGTCTGAGGCCTCCTTCCTTGCATAAGCTTCCATTATACTCAGCAGCAGGATAATCCAATATCTGCTAGAGGCAACTGAACTCTAAACTGAGCCTTCATTCAGACACAAATCAGACTTCAGCTTTCACACTTACCCTCCCTGTCCAATGACAGGTAGTATCTTCACATTTTGTTGTATGCTATCTCCATTTTTCTTTTTCGCATAGTACATTCCTTGCCATTCCTGAAAAAAATAATTCAAGTGGAAGGAAGTTCAGATCAAACATGAAGAGAAGCTGTAGCTCCATACCTTCTTCCACTGAAAGCTGCCTCACAATACAAAACCAGGCAGGGCTGGTTAAACTGTGCTCAAGCCCTCAAATTTCTCCCCTGTAAGTAATCTGCAGGTCACTGTGCTGCTGCCAGTGCAGGACAAATTCCAGGGGAGCAGCCTGGGAATGCTGTGATGGCAACAGCTGAACTCAGGAGCTGTGGGAATTCGCTGCATTCTCTTCCCCATCCTAGAATAGCTGTTGGTGGTCTTCTTTTACAGATGCATATTTTGAGCTGGGCATTTACTAAATACCAAGTGATTAATGAATAATTAAATCTGTCTTCTATGTTCACTTAACACAAACTGCTCAGGCCAATTGCTGTACTTCAGTTGAGCTCAACAAACTGTAGATCAGATCTTATGTATGTGAAAACACCCTCGTGAGGCACACAATATGTATTTATTTATGTGAGACTGACAGATTTCTCAGTCAAGCTGGCCAGAACACAGGTACAGAGAGAATAGTTTTACATTTATGTGGATGGAGCCAGCAAATAAAGACTCCAGCCCACAGAGAACTGCATGGTGACAGGCTGTACAGAAAAGAAAAACATTAAAGGCTTTTCTGAGGATCTGTCAGAGAAGAGAACTGTGAATAACAAACTGTGTAGTGAGCATAATGCCTTCCGTGAGCTGCTTGAGGAATACAAATGAAGATAAAGCAAGCACCACAAAATTCAATGCTCTCATAATTAAAAGTATGCACATCAATAGTTTCCTGACAACCAGGATGAGGTAGAGATGAGTAATTGATCTCTAACCCAGGTAATAAACCCAGGATGTGCACAAAGGGGTGAAGTCATAAACTACAGATTGGATAATTCCCTCATTGAAAGCATATCCTTTTCAAGGCAGGTTATTCACTAATGTGTTCTTCTTAGGCAACAGATCGATTTTTTAACTTGTGAATTTCTAAAACCTGTGAAACTGTGGCAGGAAATGTGTGAGGGAAAAGGTCAGTGCAATTCTGAGAAGCAGGAGGTCCCAGCCAAACTCCTGCTGGTAGGTGAAGTTCTCCCAGGGATGTCACTTAAACATATTTTAAGAACACCATATGCTCCCTCCCAGAGCCTCTGTCAGCAATCCAGCAGAGAGGAGCTATTCCCAAGATGTGCTGTCACTCAGGCCCATGGTTGTGTCTGCACTGGAGCCACACAAGCTCCATGGCCAGCTCATGCTGTGGGGATGCTGGGATCAAACCAGAGCAAAGAGCAAACCCCAGAGTGCCATTCCTGACAGAGGGCATCAGAGCTGAGCTCCCAAACTCCATGAGGAAGGCACTATCCACAGTGAGGAACCCCCCAGCTCAGCCTTCCTTTTACACTGGGGCTTCCTGCACCACACAGCAAAGTTCAGCAAATGCTTGCAGAAAACAGAGCAAACCAAAATAAACACCATGGACACAGTCCCACAGAACTGCAGGCTGAGCTAGAAGGCGCTGCCACAGAGCTTTATCACAGAGTGGGATTGCTCTCCCACCCCCTCTGCAAAGACCTTGCCAACAGTTCCCAAAGGGGGAGAGGAATTGCATGGCCTGTCTGCTTCATCAGTAGGTGTTCATATCACTGCAGAAAAAGCAAAACTAAAGCAGGCTGCAGAGAGCAGAGGCAGCAGGAATTCTAGTCAGAACTGCACATCTTAATGGATGCAATTTGAATCATGAAACAGTAGAATGAAGGAAAGCACAACTCCTTTTTAACTCAAGTATGGATGGACGAACATTTCAATAACATTGGCTTGTGGCAAATTACAGACAGCTGTAGTAACAAAAAATTAACTTCCAGAGATATGTTTTTTGCTAAGAGAACTTGCTCACAGCACTATGCTTGTCAGCACAAGAGATGAAATGCTGCAAGAGTCCATCTTCCTAAATTCCATTTGAAGACAAGATAAATTTCATGCAGTTTAGATTTTTCCAAAGATCAGAAAAACTTGCTTTCTATTATTTTTATTACTCTGTATGTATAGTACCATATTTGTTCAAAACAAAAGTCAAACCTGTTGACAGGAGATTATCACAGCAGCAGACAGTTTCCTTTTTTTGATGTGCTGTAACCTACACCAACCTACTTTGCTGTAGCCAAAATATGATCTATTGTAGTGAGAAGCAACTTCTAAATTTAGGATATAAAGAAATCACAAGTCTGAAAACTACACAAAGACCACATCAGAATGATCCAGGTAACTCAGGAACCTCTGAAAATGCGGTAATATCTTGACACAAATGATGTCAAAACTTCAAGTATTTCAAAGGTTGTTCCTCACAGTTAACCTCTACTTGCAAATGATTCCTGTAATAATTTAATTGGCAATTCATTTTTCTATTAACACATAAATTCAAGATTGTATAGATTACATATTATACAATGTTCCAGAGGGAAACACAGAACACCTGCAAACAGAATATATCCACCTAAAACAGCTTAGGCTGCTGAGACAGACAGGTTTAAGTAGGCAGCATTTCATTAGCCCTCACTGTTAAAGCCACACAGTCAGGAGTAAAATTAGTACAAGGAAGGAGATGAATTAGATTTAGATTTCTATCACTCATAGAGTAAAATATATTTCCATTATTAATGAATTTTTTATCAGCTCACTAAAATATTAAAAAATTTTATCACTTTATATCTTGAGAATTGATAGTGTGGATTTAAAGCCTGACACATCTAATGCATTTGAATTATAACTTAATAAATACTCCCTCCTAACATCAGTTTTGTACTGCACACATTTACTGAAATAACTTCAGTCAGGCAACAGAAGGGTGAAGCACCATAACCCAAATTACTGCCTGGGACCTCTTCCAACAGGCCAACACGGGTGGAAATGAGCGACACAATCTCCTTGAAATGCACCTGGAATCTGCACCCAGCTTTTGCCACTGAGGCTGTGCCAGCACCCTGACCCCCAGAGCAGGACTCACCACAACTCTGCATTTGTGCTTTTAGATCCAGAGTGACTCCCTTGGGCACGCCCTGCCCTGTGCCAATGCTGTGCTGCCTCCCAGGACAGTGCCCCTGACCCTGGGCCATGGAGCATCGTCCCACACAGCCCTTCCCAAACCCCTCTGTGCAGCCTCCATCCCCTGCTCCTACAAGGCACTCTGTCATGTTCAATGACAGCAGGAACCAGCTCGTCTCTGAGCAGTGAACCCTTCTAATGGAAATCCATTAGACAGCTCCCATGCCATTAGGGAATTAAACAGACTGGCAGCTGGCACTGCCAGTCACTTCCAAGTGACATTGCAAATGTCTCCTTGGTATTTTTACATTCTGAACTTGCAAATCAGCTTCCACATTTCATGGTGAAATTCTTCAATATGGTACTTTTCTCATTTACATAGCACCAGATAACATGTGCATCCATCTCATTTTTCTTCGGTACTCCCACACCATTTGCTATGAACAGCATAAATTATAAAGAAACGCAGCAAGTCACTTATTTTTGTAAAACAAGTATCTCTACCAAGCAAGAAAAGAGAAAGAAGCCCTTAAAAATGAGAAATTATTTACTTCCTGTTCTTGTTTTAAGTTGCAAATGCTGTGTGTCTGTGAAGCTGCAAGTCACAATGTGTTTCACTGCTGGACTACAATAACTTATTCAGGTAGCAAATAAAAGTGATTCAATTCCATTACTCACCTTTCCTATCTTTATGCAGGAATTAATAGTATCTAGGAAATCAGCTTTTTTTTCATTTATAGGCACTTCTGTTAATTCCTTTTCTATTAGTTCACCTATTTGATAGCCCATCATTGTTTCAAAAGCAGGATTGACGTACTGTGAGATAAAAAAAACAAAAACAGACACCCATTCAACAGAATACTTAAAACACAAGAGAATCCCTTGTTTTGCTAGCTTAACCAGGAGATCTCTTTCCCAGCCCAAAATAAGTGTCTGCATGTACTACTCCTGAGAGAGATGCTCACATTTTTTCTTTGTGAAGCAAACCAGGAATTTCCATGCTAGAGCAGTTGTGCAGAGTGTGTGCATGTCAGCAAAGAGAGGGAAATTACACAAACAGCTGAGTATCACATATCCACAGAGTTTAGACAGACAACATAAATTCCTGAAAAACTGGCTCTGTCAGTTCCCAAACCAATAAACCTCAAACCTACCTCAGTGTTCCTAAAAATCACCAACTGGATGTTGGAATACCATAGGAATATTATCCATATCTATTGGCAAATTCATCACCTGATTCTGTGTCAGGGCCAGCCAGCCCTATCCCCCTGTCCAGGCCAGGCCCAGCCAAGCAGAGTGGAAGCAGTGGGATTTAATAAAGCAGGCTGCTCCCTAAAGCGAATGTTGCATTTCACTGCAGTTTTTGGCCCTTGCCAACAAAGCTGAACACTGGTACCCAGAGCCCACCCCTTCCTGGCCTCTCACTGCTGAGGTACAAGCACAGTCCTGGCACAGCAGCTTCTGAAAGCCTCACAATATTTTACAATATTAAACTTACAACTTACAATGTTTTCATGTGAGAGAAAGGAAAAAGAGCCACTCTACATCTAATGTTCTCCTCTAAAAGCTCCATCCCAAAGGATCCCTTCCTTCCCCTCCCTGTGCCTGCTGCAGTTCCAGGACTCCTGCAAGTGGCACTTCTCTCAAACCCTGGGGCTGTCAGCAAGTCTGGTCTGCAAAAAGTGTATTTAAAACAACCTCAGGATGTGTTCTGTTATTTTTGTAAAAGGGATGAAGGAGGCACATCCTTCAATGAAGTTGCCATTGTCAAGATTTGGCTCAAGAAGGCACAATTTGTATGCATGTTACAATTCCCAGGGGCTTAGACTCAAGCTCTTTACTGATAATAAAATCACTTGTCCCTGCTTCATGGCTAAGGATGGAACTAACTCCTTTAAAAAGATGATGGTTTTCAGAACTGCAAAACTAAGCACAATTTCTTTTCCCTGTTTTAAAGATATTTCTAAGAGAGGATTACATTCAAAAACAGTTGGCCCAAAAATTCTGATACATCAAACAGTATCAGATTTTAGGAAAAAACAAGTACAATTATTTGAATAGAACATCCATTCAATTTTAAAGAGCATCAAATTAACATCAAATATTTTTGGAAAAGAGTGCACATAAGCCAGCGGCTGCATTCATTCTTGATACAGAGAAGGAATGAATAATAGAGATAAGGAGTCAATACAAAAAATAGAAACAAGAGAGTAAATTCTTATTCATTCAGAAACAGCAATCTCCATTAGAATTTATTTGATTTATGCCAGACACTTTAAATGGAGAAAATTCTACTCTACAGCTAAAATCACTTCAAACTTTCAGAACCATTAAGTTAGATTAGATTCTTGTGCTGTAAGAAAGAGTAAGTGTAATCATAGACAAAATAAAACACAGAGGAATTTTTCTGTAGTTATGACTGGAACAAACCTGTATTACATGGTCTTCACTTGTGATCTCAATGGCTTCTTGACTTTTCTCTAATGCTGTAAATAATGAATTACATGCCCTGGAGAAAAAAGAAAAAGGCATCAAAAGAATTTTATCCACTTTATTCTTCTTATATATGAAAATAAAGTATTACAACTCCATACTGAATAATGTTGTAGTCTAACAATTAATGTATTTTCTTCAAGTAACTGACATTCTATAATTAACTACTGCAGATTAAAATAAATACTCTATTAAAGATCTGGCAAAATTGAAAATTCTTTGTTGATAATAATGTTGGTAAAATTACCTTAGTTTGAATTGTGCCTGCACCTGTCCAAATTCCAGCTGAATCAATTCATTGTAACAGGCCATTCTACTAGAATTTTCTACATATCTCTGCAAATAGAAGGTTAGAAATATTTCATTAATACACATTCCTGTCTGCAAGGATTTGAAGGTCTGATTTCTTTTGCTTGCTAAAGAACCAGAAGAGAAGCAGATATGCCAAAAATGAACATACTGGGACAAGAGCAATGAGACATTATTTTTTGGTACTAGCAAAATTTTTCAAGTTACTGCATTTTGAAAAGGTGACATCCTCATGGCAATGAGGTTCAACCGTCCTGTTTACTCTCTGTGATTGTTGGCAAGATCATTGTAAATTTTTTTAAATCCACTTTTAGCTTTCTTAAAATAATAAGGAAATGTTAAAATTTGAAATTATTATGAGTTTCCAACTGCTAATACACCAAATTTTCTATACAGATGACAATAAAATTTTCTGTGAAATACACCTTTATTGACCTTGGGGTTTTTATCGCAATGATCTCAGTATTTTCACTTTTTAAAAACCATTTCATATTTACCAGGTATGAGCCTGGTAAATATGTTAAAATGTTTTACAGGTATGTTAAATCTTTGTTCACACTAAACTCCCACAGACATGGATATTTTGGGCAGGACAACTGATTATCACAGGTAAGCCACCACAATCTAAGCTGCTAAACAAAATTTTCTATGCTTTGCCATTAGCCCCATTTCCAAGGCTCTGAGCCATAAATAATTCAGAACCTGCGTTGAATTACTTATGTGCCCTCTGGAATGACTCTGTTCATATAAATGCCATTATCTTCAGGCTGTAGCATTTCCTGGATCAGGCCCATACTAGGAATAAGGAGATGGGTGCAAATGGAACGTGATGGAACAGCAAAAATCTGGAGAGCACGCAACCAAATATTTGGAATTGCGCTGTGAACCAGGCCCAACCTTGTTCTAGTGTCAGCTGAAGGCAATAAGGTGCCCATTTAACTGATGCACTAATTAGCACCTTTCCTGCTCAGCTGGAACAGTTGCCAAGGAACAGATGCAGTGCAATGCTTCTCAGGTGCCTCCAAACAATAGCTAATAGCACTTGACAGTGTGTGAAACCTGTTTACAATGGGAATTGGCATTTGACAGAAGAAATTTCCCACAGCACATTCTGTTGTTCACTGCAAGCTGCTCTCTGACTCTGCCACTAATCAATTTGTTAATGTCAACTTTTCAAGGGAAGGATCATGCATTTAATCTGAAATTAATGCTTGAAGTAGAGAAGTCAGTCCCACTCCTTACATCCCCAAGAGTGTCATGTCAACGCTCAGAATTGGGACACAGAAGAATGAGCAGCTCAAAAAGAATCTACAGGTCGGATCACTGTCACAAATGGTGACTGGCAGCCAAACTTCTGGAGAGCTTCTTGCATGGCAATGCTGGAATGCCAGAGCAAGGCAGCCGAGCACGGCACATACCCTTGTGAAGCCAGCAGAGATCAGGGGCAAGATGGATGACTCCTCACGATCAGGGTGCCTTTGAAACAAGGAGGATAAATCAGAGATTCTGTAATTCACTCAGACCAAATTTCACAATCCATTCATCTACTTGTACCCCAGATGCCACACTGAGGCTAATGCTGCTAGATCCTTACAGGATATAGGAATAAAACAGATTTTTTGTAATTTTTATAAGCTTTCATCTTTGGCATGGATAAGCCAAAATGTTATTTTCCTTCGTGCATGTAATGAGCTGCTTACATCAAAAAAACTCTAATGCTTCAAGGAAACCAATTATTGAGCTAGATAATTGGACTTTTTCTGTACTGGATCCTTGTTGTTTATGCTGGCATTAGTCAGCACCTGAAAGTCTGCACAGCCAAAGTTTTAAGAAATTACTGTTATCTGAATGCACCAAATCTTAGATGGGCAACTCAAGGTGCCTGAATGAAGATGGATTTTCTGGTGTTGCCTACCCACTGCCTTCTAGTAATTCACATTTGGGACACATTCCCAAATGAAGTATCTGAATACTCTGGCTATAACTGTTAAAAGAGCCTTCAACATACATGAATGTATGGCTGGAATCAGGAAGAAAAGCCATTATAGGAAGGGTCTGTCAATAGGCAGATTGAAGCTGGTCATGTGTAGCACATGGCACAATAGCTTTGATTTATGCAGGAAGTTTTGAATCTTGAAATGTTTAGGGTCCTTTTTTTTTGGTAGAGATGGTAGTGTGTTTTTAATGGTAAATTTCAACACCTCAGAACTGCTTGTCAGAATTAATGTGTTCTGAGAAATGGCCATTCCCAAATTATACTTGGAGGAAATTATCTTCCACTTATTTCATTTCATGAAATACACAGAATTTCTTTATTTTTTACATTTACATTATTTTACAGGTAATGATTTCAAAGGAGGGGGAAGGAAACAGCACATGCAGTACTTTACTGAGATGTCATAATCTCTTTTGCTTTTAAAAACAGCTGTGGTCAGATAACACTTTGTACTGATCAAATTGTTCTATGTCACTTTTCACACTCAGTGGATCTCTGGTTTTCATATTGAAAGAATATTGAAATATTGAGATTATTCATATTGAAAGGTAGATTAAGAAAGGTTCAAAACACAAGAGAGTTTTGTAGAGCAGGATGTGCAGAAGTTGTTTGAAACATCCTGTGAAAGCCTGCAGTGATGGGGGGAGTGTGAGAAGGAACCGAAAACAAAACTCCAAGTGAGATTCTTGAGTTAAAAACCTAGAAATTAAAAAAAAAACAATTTCTGTCCCAATCCTATGGTCAAGTATAGTAAAAACTATGGTACAGCACATTATTATTAGCACAGTAGGAAGATCTAATTCAGGTTTTTTAATGTTAATGTTTTTCAGGTTAACTTTTACAATGGTAAGATTCACAGTTTTGATCACAGGGAAAAGGAAAGATATGAGTATTTACCTTTGTACTACACAAATAATGACTGTGTTTTCTGAGGCTTTTGTTGTTCTGATAGACCTTTAAATAAAAAACAAACCATTTAAATTCTTTTTAAGTTCACATTTCAAAAAACATGACTTTATAGAACCTTCAGACAGCACTTTTCTTAAAATATCTTTTTTTAATCATTTAAACATTTAAAAACAAAAAAATGTCAAATCCTGAGCCTGCTGCTAAGAAAGGAGAATAAATGATATCTGAGACTCCATGAACACAGATTAATCTACAACTCAAGTACTCCCAGTGGGGGAATAGCAAAAAATATCCTCTCTGAAACAGCATTTAATGGACTTGTTTGAAGGGCTTGGCCTCACTCATTTAAGGTGCGTTTCACTGAATTCTGGGGCAGATTGGTAAAAATGGAACACAGGGAACAGCACTGCTACCTAGTGCTGGCCGGACAAAGATCTCATCCACTTGTCCCAGCCCAGCGAGAGCCTTTGGCCCAGCAGAGTCCCCAGGGCACACAGTGTGACCCTGGCACCCACCCCACAGCCTTGCTCACATTCCCAGGGCGATTTCACTGTGGAGCCTCTGGAGCAAGGCACTGCTGCCTGCCCAGGCTCTGTGGAGAGAGACTCAAATCCTTCCCTCCTTTTTTCACACTTCACAGCAGTTTCTAAAGTTATTTTTGGAATCTGTTTGCAAATTTGCTCTTCATAACGTACTTTCAAATGTTGTAGGTATGGAAATGTGCACACCAAACATTGCCTGTTAGCACTGGGAGTTATTCAACAGGAAGTGACATTCCAAAAAAATTAGAACATTAATGAAGTTAATTAATTAATTTAGGTTCTTTGTGGCACATGCTATCCTTGCAGTTTATTTAGTGTGAAAACAAGGAACCAGGTATTTGAAAAAAAAACCCTAAGCAACAAAATGAAACACAAAAAATATCCAGCAGTTCACTATGGCAACAAACTTGTACACTGTGGCTCCAAGCCAGATGGAGCTTCAGAGACCCTAGGACACAACCAAAAATGCTGCTGCTATCAGATGTAACACACTGAAGTAACAGTATTTGATGCTGCCAGTGCATACCTGTCTAAAACAAAAAAAAATAAAAATCACTGCTCTATAGAGTTTATAAAAACATCATATAAAAGCAAAAAACCTGATGCTGTGTTAACTATATTGTTAAGCATTAATTACACTGAAATGGTGCTTACCTGCATAATGCTTCTGCATCAAAGTATCTGGAATGCCTATGGTCAATGATGATAATGTCATGGTGCTTATCTAGAAAACATTCCAGTGCAGACTGGGGGGTCCTGGCAAGGTTGCAGCGGAATCCAGCCTTGTCACACGCCCAGCGGAACCCGCTGCTCTGCTCGTCCTCCTCAGCAAACACCAAAAGTACCTGGGTGGGGCATCACAAACAAGCCTTACACTTACAGGGGATTCTGTGACCTTTTCCTCTTCTAAATATGGCTTTTAAAGCCACTTTTGAGGCTTAATCCATTGTTTTTAAGAGAATTGCTTTCTACAGACCACTGATTTTCTTATAGTTGTCTGTATACAGAGGTGTTTCAAGTGGATGCGACAGTCTGCCCAAGCCATGGCATATCCACATGGGAAGAACAAGTTTTGGAACTGCCTCTCTTGTCATTATCTATAGAAAGAGCTCAGGCAATCTGAGACAAGATGCCTGAGTGTACATGAACTGACAGTGAGTCCACTTCTCTGAAACTGTCTTACATGCAGCCTTTTTCTTGGGGTTTATTTTTCTTGCCAGGATCATATTTCAGAAAAGGGAAAAAAAACCCCAAACCAAACCCAACAACAACAACAACAAAACCCCACAGTTCATCTTATGTGAATAAGTATTTAATGCTGCTTCAATGGCATGACAAAAAAATCTGCTTTCCTTTCCATCTCATCCTAATCTCCCAAAGTAGTGGATGCTGCCCACTCTGTGGGGTTTCTGCAAACTCTGGACAGGCTGGTCAAAAGGAACTCATGCCAGACTGAACTCATAAGCAGTACCACTGTATACGGAGTATGTCCCCATGTGACTCCTACACAAAGCCTGCCATGGGATTTATATGACAGAAGGAGATTATCATAGCTGAAATCCAGAACTGGAGGTCAGACCTGGGAGCCACTACTGGTTCTGCCCTAACTTGCCTTGTAATTTCCAGTAACTAATCTCTCTAAGCCTTTTTAAAATCAACACAACGCCTATAGACTAAAAGTATGATAAGGCCCAATTCCTTTAAAATGTATTTCCAGTTCTAGGATTTAATACAGCAAAGAAGATTAACAAAGTCTGCTAAGGAAGACTCACTGAGGTAATTGTACTTTGTGTCAGGATAATGTTTGCAGAAGAAAACTTCTCTTGCCTGAAAGGATACAGCATGGCAGACAATGGATCTGTGCTGATTCTGGGGATGGCTCAGCACATGCAGCTTTTTGGGAGAAATGGGTAACTAAGCCAGCATTTGGTCTGTTGTCCCAAGACACCAATCTTTCAGAAGTTGAATCAAACCACACTCAGATATGTTTTGGTCAGGCAAAGTGAAGCAGGTGTGACTCCCATCACATCCCACTGCTGTTTATCTTCTGTGTGATTTTAGGAACTCCAGTGCTGTTACAATTTGGACCAGGCTGGTGAAATGTACACCAGTAAATCTTAACATTCCCATGTACTGCATATATTTGTAAGAATGAAGGATTTTGCACACATTCAGTTCAGGTGCCTTTTATAGCAGCCTGCAAAACTGTTTGCAAAAATCATGTCACGGCTGTGTTTAGTGAAGTTAATCTATAACACTCCTTAAGAGGGGGAGAACGGATTTCATAATAGCACAGAAACTCAGGAGATCTGAGTTGTATGACTGACTCTGGCAAGAATGCAATGTTGCCTACCTTCTCCCTCCCTCACACCTGCCAGCTATATTACCAGCATAAATCAGCAGCATTTCAGAGTGGTCTGTAACTGTACAAAAGTGACACAATCACTAAAAACAATACAGGTGGCAGAAATACTCAAGGACTATTCTGATTTTGGGGAACAGCTGGATGAGGATGTCCTAAGATCTGATTTTTGATGATATTGCTGTTCTGACAATGGCTCGAGAAGAAGATGTTAAATTGCAGTTCTTAAGACAGACATTTTGAAATTATTAGGTCTACATTGCCTCTGCTGAGGAGTTCTGCAATTCCTGACAGAGGAACACCTGGGATGATTAATGGTTCAGTATGCCTTGGGTTATAGGAGAATTTCCAAAGGATTCCAAAGGAATCACAGATCTCTAAACCTCATGTCCATCCCAGACAAAGTAAGGGAACAAATGACATAAACCATTTATTAATAAAGGGATAAAAACAGATTAATTATTTTCAGCCAGTAATGAACAACTAAAAAATATATTTTGCCAAGCTCACTTCATATCTTTTGTAATGATATTACAAGTTTGGTTGGCTTGGTATCAGTTTGATGAGATTGTGATTAAGAATTTTACTACCAGTAAAATACAAAACGAGGCACAAACTAAGTTGATTACAAGGTAACTGACAGCAGAAAAAATAAATAGCTCTATTTTTATGAGCTGAGAGATGGTTGGAGAAAACAGGCAGAGGTTTTAGGACATCACATAGACAGAATGCCATTATAAAAATCTGTTATGTGCACATTATCTCTTGATCAAAATTCTCTGTGAAGATCTCTATAATCCAAGAAGTTCTAGTCGTAAATTTTAACATCTATGATATTTTAGAAATCAAGACTTCAGTTTGAACTGCTGTGTTACCTGAAGTTGATCTTGATGAAGTCTCATAGGGCCAAACTGTACATCTGTTACTGGTGCCTAGAAGAAAGAAGAAGGGAACTCATTAATGAATAATACCTAAGGAAGAAGAAAAATTATGTCTGTTATCTCTCTCCTCCGTGGGAAGGAGGGCAATGACCACAACAGCTTCTCTTTTATATCATTAATCAAACTTCAACATGAATGACTCTTCAACTGGTATAAGACTACTTCTAAAGGAGTTAAACACATAAATACAGAGGGACACTCTAATGAGATTACACAGGCTTGGTTCTTTGAGAATTCCTACCAGGCAAGCATCAGCACTTTCAATGTACTTAAATATTTTTTACCTCTTGTCCCAGAAATAAAAGCTAAAAAGCAGGAATAACAACGTTCCCCATGCAAGATAGGAAACAAAGTCCAGCATTGGTCCTTGGAGTCACATGGACTCTTCAAAAGTAACTGGAGTTAAGAAATCAGAAGAAAATAATACTTGGCAATGCAGTAAATGTAAGGTATCTCTGAACTGAAACATTAAAAGAAAAGGACTGTTGAGCACAAAGGTGGCATTTTTACATTGTTCTTTTTCAAAATTAAAACCCACTCAAAGATCAGATTTATTGCTTTGCAACCTATAATTTTTCCAGTAAGTAGTTTCAAAGAATCATCAGCACATCCCACAGAAAAATCTTTTAGAACTGCACACTCCACTCTTTCCATGACCTTAATGCTCCATTGCTCAGCCCTAAGGGTATGTAATTTGTGTTTTTATTTATTTATCAACTTGGAAGTCATCACTGCAATATTAAATAAGCAACAAACACAAGTCAAGGCAAAATGGCAACACAGTGCTTACAAAAGCATGCCAGGAACCAGTGTTTGCTTGTCTTGCTTAAGTGGGTCTTTAAGAGATGATATTAAAATGACATGGAGGGGTTTCAGATTTATTCAGCCACTGGGGTCAGATTGGCTTAGTTCAAATACACTCCAGTCATTTCTGTTTTTCTGATCTTGAGACCAAAACTCTCTCTTCAGTCGGAAAACTCAAGCTGCTTTACTCTCCCCTGTGGTACACCATACAATTATTCAAAATCTGCACTACAAAACAACAAAGACTTTTGCTGGTAGCACACATAACAGGGGAGAATCCAGCTCTTTGCACCAGTGTTACTGGGCTTGCAGTCCTGAATCAGTAGGATCAGCAGAAGTGCCTGAAGGCCATGGAGAGAGCATGTCACTTGAGTAAAAGACACCTAAAAGATGCCTTTTTACAGTTACTTCTCTGACCAGAACTGCACTTCAAATCAAAGCTTGGACTTTTTGACTTCTACCTGGCAGCATAAAACAGGGAGTGTTCCGTGTCACCAGGCAATGGCCTGAGCTGGAGGGTTCAGATCCAGAGCTGAACCTCACTGGCAGCTGGGGGGATGCAGAATGACTCATGGAAAGAAGTGCCAGCGTACCCTTGGACCATCAGTCCCAGCTCAAAGGGAATTTTAACAAATAAGATAAACACAGTATTGCCATTTACTGCTTTTCAGATGCTTCTTTCTTCCAGTTCATGAACGAACAGTAATTGAAGTATTTAAAGGACTGAGCCTTGAAAACCACTTTTCTGGCAGAAATCTGTGGCTATTGCTGCAATGAAAATACCTGTCTATGCACCATTTACGCCTAAGTCACAAGAAGTGACCAGATGAGATAACCTGGCTTGTTACACATTAACTTGCTGTCCTGAGTAGAATCAAAGCCCTGGTCTGCATCTCAGCTGGAAAATTTTGGTGAACTCCAGTTAATTCTTAATCCTCTTGAAATCTGCTCAAACAACTTGATTAATCATTTAAACTTTTTGTGTGCTGCAGGTAGCACTGAGGAGTAACATGCCAATAAAGGATTGTGTCAAAACTCAAGGCTTCAGCAAGGATTAACAGAAACTCTCAACTATTGCTGAACTAAATGAGCTTTTAAAATATCTAATGCTTTTAAAAAATCTAATGCTGCAAACTTATAACAAAACCAAACACAGCCAAAGCTCACACTTATAGTAACTGCACAAGCACATCTTTATTCACTCACACTTTCTTCTACTTCTTCCTTGGAATTTGTTACCTAGTGGAAGAGCCCGAGTACATTTTCAGATCGGCAGACACGACTCAGGCATGTGCCAGCCTTCCAGGCAGGCACAGATTGGGAAGAGTGTCTGAGAAGGCAGAGGTGGGACTGGCTGTGGGTTCCTGGAGCTGGCTGTGATGGGCTGGCTCTGCTGCCAAAGCGCTGCTGACGCAGAGCCCGTCAGCGCCGCGCATGCGGCTCCTCCAACACTCACAGCACCTGCAGCCCTCTCACACCCTCCGACCCCTCAACTACTGCTGGTAGAACTCACTGCCCCTCAAATTTGCCCTCCTTATTTGAACACTGAATTTTTTTGTCCTGTGGAACCAGCCCTGCCTCTGGCACAAAGTGGGATTCAGCCCAAGACAATAGCACGAGCTGTAAGTGACTGACAGCTGTCAGCAGGGAAGGTCATCCCCTGACTGCTGTGAGCAGCTCAACACTCAGAAATGATCTCTGTGTTGTAGCAGCTGCACTGCAAACACTGGAACTGCTGATAGAAATAGTCCATGTTTCCAATGCCCTGAGAAAAGTGAATGTTGGGTAAATAAAAACAAGTGAAATAAGCTTTAAAAACACAGACCTACACAACTGTGACTGATCTCATTAAAGTACAACAAAGTCAGCCCTGACCCGATGTAACCTGCTAAAGTACTTCTTTCTATGAGTCATTCTTCATATTTTACCAGAACAGAACCTGCAGGAATAGTCTGTTCATCACTGCTGGATTGTTTTTTCTTTCTTCCTACTGCTGGAGAAACTTCAGATGCTCAGTGAATAAATGCAGAAAGGAATAAAGGGTGGACATAAAGCCAGCTTGATTCACATGCTCCCTTTGGTGATAAATTGCCTGGCTGGTGACAGGGACAGATCTATGCAGCCCGTGGGTGTCCTGTTTGCTAGAAGTGGTGTATCCTGGCATTCTCCAAAATATCTCTTACCATTATCCATTGAGGAGGAGAGCACACCTAACATTTTGGGCAGAATTAGCTCCCAAAAGATCCTTTGGCTATTAACCTTCATGCAATACTCCTACTATGGAGGTTCAAATACATTCCTTCTGGAGGCTGATTTTCTTACAAGATCTCTTAGCTGAAGCTTTAGTGGGATGTTTTAAAGCAGAGCCTGTGCGGCCCAGGGCAACACTCGGCACTGCCCACCCACGGGAGGGGCTGCTGGTGCCTGGGGCAGCAGGAATGACACCCACAGAGCTCCATCCCTTCCTTTCTGCCACGGCAGGAGCTGTGCTGGTGCCAGGAGTGGCTCCTGCTCTGCCCATTCCATGCACAGCCTGGCAGTACATCCCCCAAGGGCAGCTGGCAGCACTTCTGCTCCTCTGCCAGGTGGGCACTGCTGCCCTTTCCTGCGGCTCACTGCAACAAAGAGTGCCATCAACTTCTGCTGAATGGATTGCAGATGGGAGCTGCTGCTGGAGGGCAACATCTGCATTCAGTGGGCAGACAGTCAGAATCTCTGACTCACTGTAATATATGACAAATAACCTCAGTGATTAGACACATGACTTCACTGTTAGTCCTATTGGAATATAGCCAACAAAATTCATCATTTTCCTCAGATCAATGTTTTAAGGTATCATCAAAATTTTTTATCTGATTTTAAAATACATACTTATATTTTCTACATATACTAGGTACATGATATGAATCTGCATGAGTTGACTCATGACACAAGAATTAACAGTCTTCATTATCAAGATATGCTGGAAGTCACAGGACTGTTAACATAAACTTAATTTTTGTAATTCTAAGAAAACCAGAGATGCATTTTACAAAGGAGAAAACTCCTTTCTCTTAATCCACCATTTTAGGCATAGATTTATCACCCCAGAAAACAAAGGCTCAAATGAACTGACAGACTTATACAATTCCCTAAACTTTTATTGATTCAGGTTCTATTTGCTGCAAAGAATTGAAATCTGCATGAGAATATACTTCCTCAGAAACCTTAGCCAAATCTTCCTGGATGCTGAAAGCTGGGAAATAGACAATTTCCTACAAACTGGCATGGCAAGGTGCAGGATCTTGTCCAGCCAGGTCATGCCAGCATGGTTCCTCTTTCTCAACAGGGAAAGGTGTTGTGACTTGTTGCAGCTCATACTTCTGGGCAAGAAAGTCTCCATGTTCAGGATCAAGTTTTCACAATTCACATTTTTCTTTGCTTATCATAACACTCATCACTTTCTGAAGTATATGAACACGAATCCAATCCATGTTCATTTACCTACTCCTTTCTCCAACAAAATGAACATCTGTAGATGACTTAAGACTCAGCTTCCTATTTTCCATGTGCTTTCTGCTGGACACTGAACATCACTGTTCATGTCTTCCTTGCACACTTTGACAGCACTCTTTTGTTACCAACTCAACATCAGTGCAAGTAACATCAAATGCTGCCCAAGCAGATCTTCCTAACAGGCACAGCATAAAATTAATTTTATACTTCACAGACTGAATTCCAACCTGGTTAGCAAATCCAGTGAAATCCAGAGCAATTCAAATACAATGAAAATATACTGGATTTACTTCAGTGTAAATGGAATGGGAGTCTGGCCCTGTGCAGCTATTTCTTTTGTTGTTTGGAGGCCACAACAGTTTGAATAAAGAATAAAGAGAACAAAGTGTCCAAGGTTTCTGCCTTTGCTCAACAGACTCAAGGACAAAGGTAAACTTGGCCTTCAAAGACCCTGTGCTGAACAGTCAGTTTATTCTTTGCTGAAATACAAAGACATGAGTTCTGAAGAGTGATTAAAATTTACCAAAACTGCTCTTCAACCTGGATGAAACCAGTTATTCCAGTCCTTGATATTTTTTTCCTATTTCTGCTTCATAAAAGATGTAGACAAATGTCACAGACTCTGAACTCATAATGTTGCATCCTGACTCAGTGCTTTGATAAAATCTAGCATTTAGATTAATCTAAATCGT